CCTGGCGACATAGAAACCATTTTAAACATCAAATTTGATTTACTGTATCAAAAAGTACATAAAGTGATTTTTGCGTGGACAGAACTACGGACCCGCGACTCGTATGTGAAATTGCTGTTGATTGGTGTTACGATTCATTTCTCATTATCAAATCTCATCTATTACAGTAAAAATGGAACCCGCGGAATACTTACTAACCGGTTTAGATTTTTTTTTAGCTGTTAGTGACGTAACTTGAGTATGTGTAAATAGTTTTCAGAAGTATTAAGAATGTACGAAAATCGAAAAATCCCTACAGAAATATCTCCAGGAATTTGTTTTCCTATTTCTATATATCTTTTCGGTATATGGCAGTGTCTGATATTTTTTAATATTCAAACACACACGGATTTGAAGGCTCAAATTTCGACGGTGTACTGTGAACACTATTACTGCTTACGGCTTAGCTAAAAACAATTCCCGTTTCTGAGACTAAAGTATGATTGGTTAAAAAAGGACACACTCGTACCTTTAATCCAAAATGACAATCATTTTAAAAGGTTTAAAGTTGGTAAGGTTATATTATGATAGAGTATGATGTTACATAAGGAATACTAACGTGTTATAAAACAGTTTTGAAGGGTTAATAGGGTTTCACGTCGTTTGTGCAATCACATGAATTACAAAAAAAGATACGCATGTGTTCTTAATTCATAGGATAAGAAGTTACTAAGCGTTTCAAATAATAACCAATCCTTTTCTAACATTACAAAACATAAGTTAAAAATAGACGCAACTAATACGTCAATTAAACGTTACAAATTGTTTGTTAATTTAACTAACATTGAACATCACTATTAACAAAATGAAGTAGGTTGTGTTGGCAGGATATAATATAGGTTAACCACTGGTTTATTTATTCATTTCTCACAAAAGAACTATCCAGAATACAACAGCGAATTCAAATGTTAATCCTTTCGTCCCTCCATCTTTGAGATATAACTGATATGAACAATATTTAGATATGCCATTTCACGAATCCCACCCTTAACACTCGATCAAATAAATGAATTTCTAGTCTAGAGTAGAATATAGTGACTGTATCTCTATAGTCATTGTTGGTATCAGATGTTATAGTCTAGATATAGAGTAAAATATAGTGACTGTATCTCTAGTCATTGTTGGTATCAGATGTTATAGTCGAGCTATAGAGTAAAATATAGTGACTGTATCTCTATAGTCATTGTTCGTATCAGATGTTATAGTCTAGATATAGAGTAGAATATAGTGACTGTATCTCTAGTCATTGTAGGTATCAGATGTTATAGTAGTCATTGTAGGTATCAGATGTTATAGACTAGATATAGAGTAGAATATAGTGACTGTAACTCTATAGTCATTGTTGGTATCAGAAGTTATAGACTAGATATAGAGTAAAATATAGTGACTGTATCTCTATAGTCATTGTTGGTATCAGATGTTATAGACTAGATATAGAGTAGAATATATTGACTGTATCTCTAGTCATTGTAGGTATCAGAAGTTATAGACTAGATATAGAGTAGAATATAGTGACTGTAACTCTAGTCATTGTAGGTGTCAGAAGTTATAGGCTATATATAGAGGAGAATATAGTGACTGTATCTCTATAGTCATTGTTGGTATCAGATGTTATAGTCTAGATATAGAGTAGAATACAGTAACTGTATCTCTATAGTCATAGTAGGTGTCAGATATTATAGTCTAGATGTAGAGTAGAGTATAGTGATTGTATCTCTAGTCATTGTAGGTGTCAGATGTTATAGACTATAGAGTAGAATATAGTGACTGTAACTCTAGTCACTGCAGGTATCAGATGTTATAGACTAGATATAGAGTAGAATATAGTGACTGTAACTCTAGTCATTGTAGGTATCAGAAGTTATAGACTAGATATAGAGTAGAATACAGTAACTGTATCTCTATAGTCATAGTAGGTGTCAGATGTTATAGACTAGATATAGAGTAGAATATAGTAACTGTAACTCTGTTTATTGTAGGTGTCAGATGTTATAGTCTAGATGTAGAGTAGAGTATAGTGATTGTATCTCTAGTCATTGTAGGTGTCAGATGTTATAGACTATAGAGTAGAATATAGTGACTGTAACTCTAGTCACTGCAGGTATCAGATGTTATAGACTAGATATAGAGTAGAATATAGTGACTGTAACTCTAGTCACTGCAGGTATCAGATGTTATAGACTAGATATAGAGTAGAATATAGTGACTGTAACTCTAGTCACTGTAGGTGTCAGATGTTATAGACTAGATATAGAGTAGAATATAGTGACTGTATCTCTAGTCATTGTTGGTATCAGAAGTTATAAACTAGATATTGAGTAGAATATAGTAATTGTATCTCTAGTCATTGTCAACTATATTCGCCCCACCACCTGCAAAATTCGAACGAATTGTCAACTGAAGCTGAAATCAGTCTTTATCAACTATTGCCACCTCATGTAATGCGAACCACCCCTCCCCCCACCCATCCACCATCCTTTGCACATTGGGCTGGTTACGGGCCTGGGTAGAATGGTTGGAAAATCATGCTCTATTAGCAAATTGCTGTATCGAGTGTTTTTATTATTCAATGACTAAACCACTTTGCCCACTTTAATTTACCTAACCCTTCCTACATATTATCAAAGATAAGTGTACCTCTAAATGTAGACACAGATACGTTATGAAATATGTTTACTGAAATTTTTCGTTTTATGTTGTAAACAAAAGAAAATGTAAACGAAGGGAATGTAAAAGATATTGTCTTAATTAGATGAGACTACACGTATCTGACCGTTTCAACTGAATGAATAGTATTTCTTTTTCAAAGTGTCATTCATAACTCTTCAATTGAACTGGCAACTTGCCAGCAAACAACGGGAAATAAATTAGACCAACTATTATTAGAAAGTATCGTCATATTCAACCAATCATATAACGGCGCCATATATAGATCCTACAAGGCGGGGATGGTTGATAAAACTAACGTTTTCATTGGTCCTTCTGAAATAAGAATGTCTGGCATAAATTGAATGTATAGTGGTCGCTGATCTCGCTCTGTGTTCATAAAATCCCGACTTAAAGAAATAGACAACAATTAAGTTACTTTGAAACTCTTGGTATCGACCTTCATCTCTGTTGTTTACATTTAGGTCGTTGGAAAATAGGAGTGTTGACAAGTTGAATTGGGATAGTACTTCTGTGGATATATATAAACATTTACATAATATATAATTACCAATGGTTTCAGAGGTTTAAACGAGGATATATATTTAACACGTATTTACCACCGATATAGTGGTAAATTTCCTATACATTGTGTACATTTCGGACCCGATGCCTTGCCTGGAATCATTGTATTATACTATGACGAGCGACACAAATGGAGACTATTGCTGCCCTGATCGTCTTCACCGAGATATTGAAAATGGAGAAAAACTGTTGCTCGTGGACTGTCGTTCGCAGTCGGAATATAGCCGTAGTCATGTTGTGAATTCCATTAATGTCACTTTACCAGGATTATTGGTGAAGAGATTACGGAAGGGAATATTGAATATGTCAGCAATTATTCATAATAATGTTGACAAGGAACGCTTTAATAAACAATGTAAAACTCATTTAATCATTTTATACGACGAGTGTTCCACTGACCTCAATGCTAACCCATCTAGCATACTACATCTTTTAGTGAAGAAACTTCGCCAAGATGGCTGCCGTGCTACATTTCTCCTTGGTAATACAAGTAGCTTATCTTTTAACCTCTATTTACATACTTGTGTAAAATTTACTTTTGTTTATAAAATACCTCATGTAAAAAGGATTTTAAAACCTAATTAACGATCGATATTTTATAAGATGGAGACTACGCTAGCTTAACATCAGAAACTCATATAAACCAGATTGATTTTTAAAGCCGATTTTGTAGGTCTACCAAGTATTTTTCCACAGCCTCAAGACTGTTCTGTAAGTGTCATCTAGAGTTGTTGCCCTTGTCAGCTGTAAATTCCCTACAAGTTTATTTTACCAATTCAAGGGAGTGAATAACATCTTGAAGTATTTTTTCATAATATCTTTTTTTTATTTACAGGAGGTTTCACGACGTTCGTTCAACGTTTTCCAGAACATTGTGTTTCTTTAGACAGTACCGAAAACTCTTTAAATGGACTGAGTAACTTACGAATTAGTGAAGACTCAGCCTATGGTACCTCAAGTGACAGTGAAAATGATGGTACGCCTTCATTACAGTCACCCTTTCCCGTTCAAGTACTGCCATACCTTTATCTAGGTAACGCTAAAAACTCGGCCGATTTACAACAATTGAAACAAAATGGAATCTGCTATATTTTAAACGTCACCCCTAATGTGCCAAATATGTTTGCAAATGACGATTCGTTTAAATACCTTCGCATCAACATCAGCGATCACCTGTCTCAAGACTTGTTCGAGTTTTTTCCAGAAGCCATTGCATTTATTGGTAGGTATTTTATAATTTTTCAACGGCAAACGAACGCCATGACACTATCCACGTGAAACGATCGTTTTTCAAATAATTCATCTCCAAATTGATGATATTCTAACTTCAAGACATGTTTTTTGTGTTACCCATCTCGTCAGATAATAATAATAATAGTATAAAACATGGTCGTAATTAATCTTGTTTATCTTATTACAAGATAGCCTACAGGTGTGCAATTTTCCTATTTCCGGTAGTCCAGATCCACCAGATGATTGACGTAATGAACTTTCAATGTCTGGATGATTGAGTCTTGTTTTCATTTCATTATTGCTTCCAATAAAGAGTGATTCTTTTCACTTTAATTACACTATTACTTTAATTGGACTATCAGCTGTTAAAAAATACAGATATAAATATTGATGAAAATACTAAAATCTTTTAGAGATCTTTTTTTTTGGTACTTTGCACGCTTCTCAATTTTAAGAAATCCCTTAAAACTATTAGAGCACTTCAATCATGGAATGGATTACGGATAAGTAGGCTTACGGATCCTTCTAATCCTAATCCAGATTAGAGTAACGTGGTAAGATCCTTAAGAAGAAAAGAGACATGACATTTAATTGTCGCCTAACATTTCTTAAGGTTATAAAACGGATACCTTAAGGCTGTTTCAGTAAGACAGTTTTTAGAAGAGTGGGTGGGTGAAATGTTAAAAGCCGAAAGCCTCGGGGCCTTTTGACAACTACTACAAGTTTTGATTGATAAGTGATGACAATGAATACCAACATCACATTGACTTGATCTTTTTTATATAAAAAGTTGAATCTAAAATTAGTTTGTTATCCGATCAAACCAAATGACTTCTCGTTTTCAATAAACATAGCAATAATGTAAGGGGCAGTGAACGTAAAATAAGAAAGGAAACATTGTAATTGTGGTGTAGGAGAGCTTTTTGCCTAACCACATTACATAAACAATTAGATTGATTTCTTTGAAGTGTATCAGAGAAACTTATACGTCTTTCACTTTCGATTTATCTGCCTACATTTGTTGTTAGTGTTAAGAGTGAAGAAGTTCCTAAAAACTTCTATGTAAAGCACTGGCCAAGGTCACAAATAAAGAGATAAATGTTCAATACAAGATAAGGTGAAGTTAGCATAGTTAGTATTAAGTTAAAAAAACAACCACGAGTAATCTACAATAAACAAAAGTCTATAATATGAAAGTTTTCTTGTTACCAGTTCTAAAAGAAAAGAGTATGAATAGGTTCTGAAAAGTTAAACATCTATATATAAGGATTAGAATATATTATACTTAATGAGCTAGAAAATAGAGAGGGGGGTCAAGTATTATTGGATTCAATGGGATCGAGTCTACCACGGACCAAAAAATTACTAAGGTTTTTATTGCGCTTATAGGCATAGTGTAATTTTATAAAATCTCTCCTATGTTATATAATCAAGGAATAAATCCACACAGGATCTTCAAGGAGTAAAGAACAACTAACGTTTTTATCTTGAAGTTTGGCTGTGAGCCAACACTGTCGAGTCGACCAAACGCCCCCTTATGTACAGTATCACCCAACTGAATAAAAACTCGTTTGTTTAGTAACTTTAAAGGGAATGTTAACCTCGTCGCTAGGTTTTTATTCACCCCTCAAGTCACACTCAAATAAATGACACTATGCTCTTTTTTATTACATTCTCAGAATAACAAATGACAAAATAGAAAAAATATGATTCTATGAAAAGATTTTATGTATGTTACGCTTCAACCCTGACTTTGATTGATACACAAATTGACATTTTGCGAACAAGTTATAGGCCTATCTTTTAATCGCATTAATATTTCAATTCACGCGGTGGATTTGACCTAAATTTTGAAAGTAAACATGCTAAGCCCAACCAATTTAAAATAGGAACGGTCAATGACATATTTCTAACATTTGTTTGCTTGTCATAGAGGATGGGTCTATAATATTTAATTTGACGTCGTAATTCGTGTCATGTGATAGTCTACTGCCCCATTATGTCAAATGTATTGTGCATCTAACATCTTATCCAAATCTCTTGACCCATTTACATAATATTTTTTGAAATATAAGTATATGAATGAACTGGGTCACATACAATGGTATTAAAAATACTAGAGATTCAGGTGAAAACTGTCTTCTATACCGGAAGTGATAAAATACTATACAGACTGTGAAACTTTGTTGAATTCTGACGAATTGTTCAGTAAATCATGTTTTCATATTTTTGCGCGGTCTACCATTTGAATGATAATGGATGAGTTGATTTATTGAGGAAATAGAGATAATTTTGTATATCAGACTATATTTACATGGAGAAATGTCACGGATCTGCTTGATCAAAGGATAGGCCTCACTTGAAAGAAGTAGTCGTAATTTCTATAATGGCAACTCAATGTAACTTTGCTAAACACCAGGGGCAGATTATGAAAGGAATTAATTTTTCTGACATTTAGATAGCTATCTCATTACATGACTTACAATGATATGATCGACCGTGCTAGTGAACGTGGGTGTGGATTGATAACAAATCTATAGTGTGTTATGTTGCAAGGTATTGATTAGTGCCAAGGTCTGAGAAGATTTCTTGTTCTACTGACCCAATTCTTAAGAATCAATGGTATTAGCTGATTAGCCTTATCGTTAAAACGCAAGGACATTTCATCACGGCAAGAATATATTAATGATTTTTCACTGTCTTAATAGTGATAAGTTCGCGTGATTAATATCAAGACATTTTTTCCAAATAATTGCATTTTGTTGACAAATTTCTAATATTCAACAATAATACAAGAATGAAGTAGTTCACGAAATTTGTATAATGTTATATGTATAGTTCATGGTTGTATATAGGGCAATTTAGGCGATGTAGAATTCAGCGAATCTGTTCAAGCCAAGCAACCGTTTCATTGCACAGACCAAAACCGACCTAGTTATCAGTAGAAAACATTTTAAAAGTCTTCAAACTATAAGTATAAATCTCTGACGTATATTGGCCTACTGATAAATGTTGGAACACCCAACATGGAATAATGCTAGTAAACTATTTGGTATTTAAATGAAATATAAATAGAAAAGGAAGTGGGTGAGGAGTTTTTAACATTTTCTGAGGTCAGATTTCCTGTTTAAAAGAAATGAATATAAACTTATCATAGTCTCACACATCTAGACTGAATATGAACATTGGATTGTTTCCAATAGAAAAACTAATGATCCTCTCATGTTTTAGTTTTTATTTCCCAGCTCTTTCTTCGTAAAAAAGGGAGAATGAGTCCTGTCCATCACCCAAATTCAGCAAATAATTACACTTTAGAAGCTTAAAATGAAAATAAAACTTGTAAAGATTTAAGATTAGTGCGTAAAAGCGTGCTCGGAAATCGCTTGCACCATTTCATTGATATCTGAATGATAATACTAATTGAACTCAAAGTATTCAACCGATGGTAAATTTTGGAGTCATATGGAGTCTTGTTGTGTGAGACTATTTTTCGAATTAATGTATATATGATAGCACGCCTATATCACGTGATAGTCATCAAAATATACATAAAGTTGTTTGTAAATGGAGAGCGTCGTTCTGGAAAATACAGTGTATATTATTATACAGTTTATTTACAGGGGTTTACATACATTTTTCTAGAATGACACCTCAACTCTTTTGAATTAATTACTTCACTTAAACAAGCAAAGCATTGCAAACCTAGTTGAAGGCGTACATATTATTGAATATCTTGTTCCATTTGAACATTCTAATTATTCACGCCAGTGTTTTGTATTTTCCTTATACCCTCCAGTCGTTATCAACTAGAACGCAGCACTAAAAATAGATTAATTTGTATTTATGTAGAATAAAGCAATATTTATTTCTTGAGAAATTTGGTAAATTAATAGGACTGTTATTAAGTCTGAAGTAACTAGCAGTAAGATTGATGTCAAATAGTGGATTAGAGATGTGCAAATGTTATCAAATCCCATATTTGTTTTTCTGCTAGAACAAAATTGAACACTTAATCCAAAACTTACAGCTTAGAAATTGTTACTCGAACTGAAAAGTAATTGTAATAACGGAAAGCAAGAGTGAATTCTCTGTAGTTTTGAAATATCTTGAATATATTTTTCTTTTTCTGACATCAAACATAACTCAATTTCAGTGTGGCTTTATTCTGAAATGCAATAGTTTGTAATGTTGATAAAGATTTATTTGAATGAAAGAAAAGCATTGCGATTAATTTGGCGTATGAAATGTCATCTTGACTCTATATTATATTTCCTTCTTATACTTCTTTATAGAAGGGAAATGTGTTCTAATACGTTATTTCCTTTAGCTAATTACTTATTGTAAATAAACAAAATAATATTATTATATAATAATAATAATAATCACCAGTTAACGCATTTAACACCTTCACCATCTTTGCCATTTTAACCCCAATTCGGCAAAAGTTTCGATGTTTTTATTTTTTGTTTTGTCTTTTCAGATGAAGCGAGAGAGAACCACTGTGGTGTTTTAGTTCATTGTTTGGCTGGAATAAGTCGTTCTGTGACGGTGACTGTGGCGTATTTGATGAGCAAATTGAACCTGACTATGAACGAGGCGTATGATTTTGTCAAAAGTTGTAAACCAAATATTTCTCCCAATTTTAATTTCATGGGACAGTTATTGGACTTTGAAAAATGCTTACATGGTAGTGATAATTCAATAGGATCTCGATCCAAATTTCGTAATTTCGAATATTGCAACAAGAATTCGTCAAGTTCTGACATACCCCCACTGACCCCGGCAGTATGATCCACAGTCTACTGCTGTATAATAGATAAGCTGTTTGATATGAACCTCTGTTCATACGACCTGGAAAGGTCAACAAATTAGGGATGACATCCATTTTCAGTTCAGTTTCAAGCTAATGGGCCTGGATCGTTGTTTATTCAGTAGGTAAAACTTGGAATCTTTGAAAATTTAAAAAAGAAAAAGTTGGAATTTTTGAATCATCTGGATACCTTGGCCAATCACGATTTTGAGGGTCGTCCGAAAAGTTTCAGTTTACAAAATGACGACATGAAACCTACTACAGAACAAAATACCCACCAAGTCTAAATAGCTAGATAGTGTAGGTTCGACTAAGAATGTTATAAAGATAGGTCATATCCACAGAAAAAAAACACCCTTTATCAAGTCGTGCAACGAACTAGGAACCAAGACAGTGGTCACCAATGAGGACAGTATACATCTTACGTGCTATCCGTATGATAAGTAAATATTATGTAGAAGTCGAATGAAGCATAATAAAGTGCTAATAAACGATGAAGAATATAAAGTGCTAATAAACGATGAAGTATATAAAGTGCTAACGAACAAGTGTAGAAGATGGTTGGAAAACTCGACTATCTTCTACAGGGCTGAATATTATGTCTTTCACTGTTACCTCTCTTACAATGATTGATAGCAAACTATTCAAATTCAACATTTGCCCAGACTTAGACGGAGATTTTTTGGCTTTGCAACAGGAACAATTGGTACATCATATAAAAGCAAATCACTGACTGATTTGTTTTCTTGCAGTCACTGTTTTGCAGAAATTTTTAAGTATTGAGTAAAATTTCAGAAAATTATTCGGATACGATAAGCTAGGTTTTCTGACAACAATTTCCATTCATTCCATGGCGTAGGTCTTGTGCTAACTTTGAATGGCATTTATTGTATATTTTTGACAAAGAAGGAAATAGTAAAAGGTAACGTCTTAGCTTGAGCAAATGTTTTATTAGTAAATAGTACGGCTAAATAATTGATTTAAAGATTTTATTAAAAAGGAGTGGCAGCTATATGATATATAAATATATATACCATTGTTTTATAATTGATATTGGTATGATACATACCGGAAACATATACCATAATACATCATTCATTAGTAGTCATTGGCTGTTACTTTTAATTGTTAATTTCTAAATACTATTTATGATTCAAAAATCATAATATTTGTTTCTTAGTTTATTTTTTCGTCCATGAAAGAGTCTTTACTAATTGTTAAGTTTTTGATGATATATTATAAATATATAGATTATGTATATGAAGTTGTAAAAAGTTTAAAATGAATTGACATGCCTTAAATCACTTTCACAATATTATTCATTATTCAGATAACATCAAACCTACTTTTATATTTGGCTATTTTGGACAGGTGCTGAATACTTTGATTTCCCAATCTCACCTACATTGTGTTGTGTTTTTGCTTTAAATTAAGGAAAAGCAGTGGCTAACATTATTAGAGCCCAGTGTTTTAAATTTCATGAATTTGAAATGCAACAACACCCATAAGTTTTGATTCAATAGATATATATTAACATACTTTACATACATGAACTCGTTAACTGTTAATATTGATTTGAATACTATTAAGAATGATAAATGAACACGTCCAGACATGACATGGGGAATAGAAGTGCCTATTTTTTTTGTCTTATTGATAGATTTTGCAGGTTTCCAACAGTTTTCAGGTTTACTGTATTCTATGAACAAGATGATTAATGTGTAATATTGTGAAAGTGACATGAATATGATAAATTGTTAAATATTTTTCATAGTGTTATTAATATTCTATTATTTTATTAGTAAATTCTATACACAGATAAACTAAAATAAAAATATTGAAAATAGGGCCATATTGAAGGACTTACATGATCAAAATTCTACAAACAACGACAATCTAGTAGCATAATAACATTGTTCTGTGTACAAGATGAATATTTTAAATAAAAATGAAATCCTCACATAGAAATGAAACGTCTCATTTCAAACGCTCTAAGTAGTTGATATGTAGCTGAATATATACTATGATAGCTGTGTTTAAAAAGCGGAGCTTCAACCTTCCTTATAAACTGTGCCATAATATTGTGTGTGCATTCCATAGATTGCTGGAACTACAAGCTGTCCATAGCAGAATTTTCACTTTCACTAATTGATGGCTGAAAAAATAGTAATACATGCTGATGAATAGATATTAGGATCGCTTGTAGATTCGGCTATGCTCTATTGAATGCAATTTTATTTCGAAATATTCTTATGCATATAATTATTCACCCATTTCATCAGCAATTCATTTCTGGCCTAATTAGACCATATTTTGATCAAATTGCGATTTTTACCCACAACCCCATGGGTACATCCTTCCAGACCCTCGAAAAGTTTTGCATATTGGACTTGCCTTGCGTTGAATAAGAAAATTTTTAGGAAGCGTTTTGAATTTATTGGTATCTTCTGAACGAGTCCTGTCTTATCGATGGATAACTGGTGCGGATAACTCCGACCAAGACCGCTCTTGTGCCCGTACTTTTACACAGACAGAATATATTTTTGAAAGGGGTAAATGAAAGTAAAACACAGGCAGAAAATTTATTTTAATTTAATTCTAATTTTGCAGTAATAATGTCAGTTTTTAGTGAACATTTCAACGATAAATTATTTAATATTCTTCCGTAACATCTCAAAATGAAGTACATTTTGTTATAGTCGCAATGTCTCAATCATTAAATTTTAGAAATATTTAGAAATAAGATTGTTTCAATAAGAGATCTTGAAGACATGCAGGCTATAACGAATATCATTGTGAAAGTGAAGCATAAGGAAAGCAATTTGCTCGTGCATTTGTTGCATATACATTCATAATATATATATCAACTCTCATATAATATCATTTGATCGATATCACAAAGTCGAAAAATGTCAAAAATATCATTTTAGAGTGATTATGTTGTAATTGATTACCTCTATGTTTGTTCAAAATGTTGTCATTATATTTTATACACAAAACATTGAAAATGTCATAATAACGTGTTTTCTTTTTTCTTTCGATTGTCCATCTACATGGCATTTATGAGAGCTGACTGCTGAAACGACCACTTCTTTGCATTCCCCCCTTTTTCTTTCCGTTTTACTGCAGCTTCACAATCTCACGGTTTTGACCATATTTGATATCAGTGTCAACGATATTTGATAAAGATTTAAGAGGTATTATTACTGCTCTTAAACGATTCGCGAAAGGAATTTGCGTATGTTTATGAGATTTCGGATGAGTTCGATTTTTATACGGCCACACAGTAGTGTGCAGTGGTCTATTTAGAGGGGTGGGGGTATCTAAAATCCAAAAGATGAGCCTGGTTCTCGGATGCCCTCTTACATTCGTCAATGAAATCGTGATTAGGCTATGAATATGGGAAATGGTTTTGAATAAATTGTCTGTATGCGTGTGTATGTTGATGAGATCTCAGATGAGTTCGGTTAACACAAATTTCTGTAACACAAATAGCTGTAGACTAAACGCGATAAACTACAATTTTGATTGGATTTTGACAAATTTAATAAGATTTTGAATGTCGATGCTAAGATTTCAGACCACATTGATTGACATGAATTTCCGAGGAATTGTTTTTCATTTTTTTAGTTTTGCTTGAGTCAAAGGATTATAATCTAACTCATCATCGCCAACTATCCGTATTTCATCTCTATTTTTACCATATACTATCATGTCGGTACAAAACTTCTGGTGCAACATTTAACATGCAAAAACAAGGGAGATAAGTTTGCATTGACTTCTCCATTCTCTTAATTGAACGATTCTTTATTCAGTGACAAGTGAATTCTGAAAACGTTTGTAATCGAACTACTCTACAAAATCAAACTTAAAGTTATTCTAAAAACTGTACATTCTGAAGAATTCATGAACAAACGTGAACAGGGTTCTTTTCTGAAGAGATTGAGGAATTATTATTGATCCTTTTTTGACAATTAAGAATAAATATGAAAAAGACAATGGTTGGGGACTGTGTCATATTGAAAACTGACAGATCATCAAGCACATCTGGGAGAGGTCACTTGAACATTTTCAAAACAAGGTTTTTATTATTGAAGGGAAATAACTGGATTTTCAACAAATTCTCTTAAACACACCCGTAGTTTAAAGTTAAAAGACAAACAATGTGTTATAACACATTACAAAATATCAATATTATTTAATTCAATTAATAGTCAGTTGACTGGTCCCCATTTTACCTGCTTTGTCATTCATCATGTGACTAGTGTTTTGTAATAGTAATTATACTTCAGGGCATTAAAGGGAATTAGAGGTTTTTTCTTCATTTTTTATGTGTATCGAGGACATGGATAGCACCAATTTGCGTACCGTAACATTTGAAACACAAATACATCCATTCACATATATATCCTGACAGCACTATACTAGTACAATGAGTCAGCCCGTCGGGCCATCAGCACAAATGAATTGGTGCTGGATTTTGTACTCAGAAAATTTGAAGAATTAAAGGCCCAGAGAACTTATTTTTGACAAAATCTATATCCAGCCACCATCCTAACGACTGGGCTGCAAACAGCGTCGAAGTTTGAAATCAAACTATTATCAATATTGATATTTTTAGCACTTTATTCACCTTCATACATCAAAACAAAATAAACTCTAAAGGTCTATTTGAAATTTACCATCTAATATCACTGTCTTTATTTCTAGCTTCATGGGTTTGAAACACATCCACACTAAATCCACCTCGTCTTGCTAATTTTAATTCATTATCAACAAATTCTTGTGCATTGAAATCATCAGCCCATTGGGCTATTGAGGCCAATTTCTCTTGAAATCTCATCTCTTTCTTCTTTTCTTTCATTATCCTGTCGGTTCTTCTCTTGTGTACTTGTCTTTTACGACATTTCTTTAATTTGTGTTTATTCATTTTCCGACGTCGAATCTTAACAATTTCAGCAGCGTTTTTAGGTGTATTTTGTTCTGGCGAATGTGGATTAACTATTTCTGATTTATAAATTTCTGGTGCTATGATTTCTTCTAGTTTATTTAAATTCGTAGGACAGTCATAAATATTGTTACATTGTGGTGTCTCTAAAACAATATCTGTGCCCCTTCGTACAGTGCTAGGTAAAATATATTCATTTACTTCTAACGAAGTTGAAGTGAGGTTTAAACCACCATTTGAAGATGCTATCAAAGGATTTTTAATATTAAAAGAATTCATGGATGATAAAACAGGAAATGGAGATGTATTTGTGGAACCAGTTCTATTTAAATATGCTGAAAATTGAACTGCTGGTTTTTGGCCTGGAATGATCAAAATATATAAAGAGTACAAATATATTGTCTTGAAAAAAGGTGACAATAAGTCAAAATATATTGCACAACAGCTCAAATTAAGCTGTCAGTATATGTTTCAGAAACAGGAATTTTGAAAATGAATAACACATCTTGGTTCACAAAAGAAATGTACAAGGATGTCTCCAAATACATTGGCGACATGAGAAATAAAAATAGCTTGACTGGAGAAATATCCACAAAAGATCATCTCACTTATGATAGGGTACTAGTAAATAACTTCTGGAAACTTACCATTGAAATTTAATGTAGATAATTTCTTACATAAATTAACCATCGCTTTATTCAATCTAACATGAGCCATATTTGTAACCTATATTATTACCTATAAAGGAACAGTGAATGATTGAATGATTAATACACACCAATAAAAACGGTTAAGGCCTGCAATTTTTGACATAACTCCCTACCACTTTTCAACGACGACAAATTATCGGGACTTACAGTCAGCACACGCCTTGATCGGTTTTCTGTAGAGCTACCACAAACAATATGTCATCCAGAAGTGACCATGTGATACCTACATTGAAATCTATTGGTTAACCTTTAACTAGGTCACAACAATTTATCGGGAACACCCGCACACTTCCCGACAAGGTATGTCAGGACGTCTCCCGATCACTTTTGATTCTGTTGTAGGCCTGTCGAAGACCAATGCACACTGGCCAATTTTTCGACCTCTGATATTATTGTACATACCGGGTATGTTATTTTTTACGTCCCTCTTCATTCTACCATTGTGATCAGAATATCATTAAATGTAAACATTGAAAAGGCTTACACTATCGTTTACTTTGAACCTTACGATATGTAGATGATCCTGTCTACACTATGTAGACAAGATGTATGTCAACATGTAGACAAGATTTATTGTCAAATTTTGAAATATCTGTGCATTAAGATTGACTAAATTTGCACTTTCAACATTAAATATCCACAATAAAGTCCATTAATCTCAACACCTAGTTACATTTATTCATTCCAAACCATAAAACGATCATTGTGTAGTGAAAATTATGAAATTTTCATCAGCCATTTTCTAGAAGGCCATCAGTGATTTAATTGACTGTGATGAACTCCATACAAACATTATGGACTGCTTGTGAATACGTAGCAAAGGTCACAGTCCATGAGGGAGACTATCAGAAAATATATATCTTAATTCACTCTGTCCTGCTTACTAAAAGAGTATTTCTAAATAATAATGCTTTCATTGGTTGGCAATCTAAAGATAAATCCTTAAAACAATAACAATTTGAGAGACGGAATTTTGTTTTATTACTTCCCTTTCACTGCCTTTGCGACCTTGCAGCATTTCTAATTTCATTTGTACCGGTTGATGTATGGGCGAAGTCTGAGACATTCAATTACAGTCAAGTAACCTAATTTCGTGGAAACCTATTATTCGTGGATTTCCGGAAAGGATTAATAATTTACATGAGAGACCTTGCACGACCTCTGCATTAGTTTGTTTTGATAAACATGGGTTTTCTATACAATATCAGCTAGTAGAATGAATTCAGTAGTTTCAAGTAAGGTAAAATGTATTAATGTATAGTTTGACAAATACAAAATGGTCGATTTCACTTATTACCAAACGTCACCATTTTTTATCGTCCGAAGTTCACTATAATCCCAAGCGGTAATCGGTATTCAAAGTGTCGTCTGCTAGAATATAGTCCAACGAATGAAGTCACGTGATCAACTAGCGGATTCATATTCATATGTTGTTTCAGTGACTTTTAGCAATAAATCACGCTACGTATCTTATTTTGTCAGTCACTATTTTATTTTTAATATACCACCCGGTATCCATACAATGATACAACAGGTTTTTCTCGACTTATTTACAGATCAAATATTGTACACGAAAATACACATTGCCGAGTAGGTTGCTCATGAAATATGGGTCAAAGTGAAGGATTCATAATGAAAATCGAAACAAACCAATTTTAATTATTTTGTAGAATATCTGAGGAAACACCTACTAAGACATAAAAAAAAAATTTCGTTTTTTTAACTTTGACGTAATTCGGTGTTGAATCCTTATATCCACGAAAATAGGTTACACCACTGTAATATAACTACTTCTTTAGCATGCATCGGTCAAAACTAGTTACATTACCGTTCAATTTAGCATAAAAAGTTCAATCATAATTTGTCTTTAGTTTGTGGTGGCAGACATCTTGATTCCATTCGACCTATTAACTCTAGTAGTACCTAGCAAGATTGTGTGAGGAAAACATGTGATCTATATTCAAAATCGATACCAGTTGTGCACGCACGATAAACTTCTTTTTTTTAAAATTTAAAGTAATAATGTATTTGACGCAAAACAACTCACTACCCCGTGGATTACATTGATTAGCTATGCACGAACGAAGTGGCATTAGCTCAAGGTACGTAACTCTTTTGAAAAGCAAATTTTCAGACTAATTTTAATATCTATGACCGCTCTCAGAGCCGTATATAGAGAGAGTCTGGCCAACTACGTCACAAGGCGCCATCTTGTTACCCTCTCTTAGCTACAAGGCGGCCGACGTTATCCCTCGTAAACGCTCTAGAATTTACAGTTTTTAACCGATTTTGATAAAATTTGGTATGTCTATACAAAAACACAAAAAGAAGACAAATTTTGAATTTTAGCACTTTCCAAATATTAACCACCGAAATATTAAACCTGTAATATTCCATATTAAAATAGCTAGGGCCTAGCTGTATATTCTACAGCTATATGGAACAATAGGCTAATCACTAGTTATAGTTTATGCAACATATTTATAAGTAATATAATGTATAATATAATTCATATTGTTTTTGATCAATAGGCCCGTGTGCCTGACGACTGTCAAAACGGTGCATAAACTATAACCGATGATTTTTGTTACATGAAGCTTTAGAATATAGTGAAGTTAGTATAAAGGACTGAACTCCATCTTTGTCGAAGAAATTTAGTCATCATGAAAATTGCTCAAAGCAAGATGTGTACTATAAATCGTTATCAACAGAAACAGGCCCGTAACCAGACCAATGTGCCAAGGGGGGGGCGAATGCATTTGCACGGAGGCTGAAATAGCTGATAGAGACTGATTTCAGCTTCGATTGAGAACTTGTTTGAATTTTGCAGTGGAGGGGTAGGGGGGGGGGCGAAAATAATTTAAGGAAGCGCCGCCCCACCCCACTCCCCACCCCTATCTCTTTTACTTGTGGACCTGAACAGAAAAAGGCTCATTATTCAGTTTCAATCAGCACAATTTATTTTATGTCATGAAGGCATGAAAGTTATATCACACCACTCAATAATCATCATTTCAGCTTTGAAACCATTTTGCTTCAGCTGTCGGCTGTTGTCCTGGCGATCTGTTTCTCTTTGACTGTCGTCGAAGTGATTCTGGAAGAGAAACCAAAATTTACACAAGTGACTGGCCCAAAAGGCTTAGTGTTCACATTATAGTCTAGACCCACAGTCTACATTGCCCTTCCATATTTTTCTGCGAATGTCAATAATGAAATAACATAAACAATGGTGGCGTTTCATTTGATCTCTAAAGGGGGTGGGGTAATACTGATAGGCATTTAGGAAATCAATGATATTGATAGGGAGAAGGGTGGTGGTGGGGGGGTTTTGGGTTGAAAATCAGGACCAGCACAAATATTAGAGTTAGGAGCCATGGCCCCTTGCCTCACCGTACAAGCACCAATATGGTGCACACCTTTAAATTATACTGTTTGTTTTGGTGATTGGAAGTAAATAATACTAAATACTAAAAAAGTAAATAGTCTTAGAATTTCACATTTATAGAAAAACATAAATCGATCGATTATGTGTAGGCCTATCAGAAATGTTGTTGACAGTGTCTCAGAAGCCATGGTGCATGCTCCTCGTCTAGGCCTAGGTTTAGATAGCCAGTGCGTGGAAAGAAACCCTCTCACAAAGTTTTCATATCTATTATATCCAGTTTTTAGACCTGAACATAACACGATTTGCAAAACCCCTGAAATCATCGAATGTACTTACATCGCATAGAAAAGAGTTGTCGTGGGGAGTCCAGTCGGATCGTTTGACCTTTACTTCCCATTCTCTGCGTCTCCTTTTATCCTTAGGGAACCTGTGCATCACTATACCTTCTCCAGATTTGACAGAGCATTTCTATGCCACACATCGAGGCATTCTGTTGCCAGACAAGACCAGGAATTAGGCTTAAACAACGTAAAGAATACCCAGGCTCCTACGCCTAAACGTCGCGGGAAGGGTAACAATATGGCGGCCTTCAATCACGTGACCGCTCTGCGCCAATCATGGTTCAGCGCGGCGAGATCACAAGTTGGCCAGACTCTCTCTATGTACGGCTCTGACCGCTCTCTGACCGCTATATTAACCTTTTGTTACTCGAAATGATCAACTGATCAATCTAGTCCGTAACATCTGCCCCTACTCCAGCCTCTGACAGATATTTTGACAGTTGTCGACTGGAGTAGAGTCAGAAAAATATGCCCTGTTTAATGAGGATTTTCCACACCCCCGAAGATGCGTCTTTTCTAACATAATTTTAAATTACCTTTACGATGACTGTAAATAAGTGTTGGGTATCACAGTTACTTTTGTTTTGTTAGAATCCTATAATGTGACTGTGACCTTTGAACTTTTGGCTGCGGACGCAGTTTTACGATGTGAGATCAGTTTCATTAAAAAAAACTTAGATGGAACCGGAGACGTGACATAAATTATGTAGGGAGAAAATGGTGGTATAACTGAACTACAAAAATATTCATCCTTCCAAATATATCTAGGTTACGAACAGACGTCTGTTCAAATATCAGAGGCTGGAAATAGAGACAGATCTTTCGGTCTACTGGCCAATCGAGAGATGCAAAACCACATTAGTAACGATTGCTTTGTGATTATTTGAGATGTAGAAAAGATCCTGAAAATAATTGTTTTTATCATAGATAGCTTACGGTTTGCATGCACATAATGATCAATCACACATGAAAAAGATAGCTTGCCAGGCAAGATAATATACGCCCACTGGCAGCTTTGATTTTAAATAAAAATATTTGGCAGTACAGTAACAATTACCAGTATGAAATATTTAACCTCAGATATACACTTCTTTTGAACTTTTTGAGGCGATACTGAATAATGTTACCAAGTTTCATCAACATCTGTCAAGAATTGGGCCTTCTAGAATGTTAACAGGGGCAATAACTCATACTAAATATTTCTGATTTTCGCTATAGGGTTCAGCCTTTACAAACACTTACACCAAGTTTCGCCAAAATTCGTCAAGAATTGTGCCTTCTAGAGTGTTTACATGCTAAAAATTGAACGCATTTTCGAGAACAAGGGCAATAACTCATACTATATATTTTTCAATTTTTCTGATTTTTGATAGGGTTCATCTTTAGGTGATTACAAACATTCACACTAAGTTCCGTCAAAATCCATCAAGAATTTTACTTTCCTAGTGTTTAACGCGTTTTCAAGATCAAGGGCAATACTAATACTAATTATTTTTTTATCTTTCTGATTTTAAACAAGGTTCATCCTTGGGAGATAGCAAACATTCACACCAAGTTTCATCAAAATCCGTCAAGAATTGCGCCTTACGAGCGTTTCAAGAGTGTTTACAAGCTAAAATAGAACGCGTTTTCAAGAACAAGGGCAAAAGCTCATACTTATTTTTCGATTCTTCTGATATTCAATAGGGTTTATCCTTGGGTGATTACAAACAACCATACCAAGTTTCGTCGAAATCAGTCAAGAATTGTGCCTTGTAGAGTGTTTACGAGCAATTGTGGACGGACGGACATGGGTGACAGCAATATACGCCCCCCATTTCATGTGGGTGTATAAAAATGATACTATTTCAAGATAGACTTAAATCACTCATAATTAGCATTTCTAATTTTCTTAACCTTACACTTAGGCCTACATTTTGTATTAGCATAAATCTTTTCTCTGTTTAGGCATATTATGTTCACATCACCACCCAACACCAGCGTTAAGCGAGGATCCAGTGTGGCAAACCTCTTGAGCCAATTATTGTTGTTGTTTGGTGCTCAATTGCCACGATTGGTACGTCTACTAAAGATTCAAAGAAGCACGCCTTGATACAAACGGTCTAACCAATCAAATTCTTTCATTACAGTTTCCCTTTTTACGCCATTTTTGGGAGCCGACAGCATGAGTATCCCTGTAATAATTGATATTGCTGTTCAAGATCAGACTGCAGAGTTAAGAAGCTTTTTGAAATCATCTGGAGCAGAAATATCTAGTGAAAATGCAGAAGCTGGTTTATTGGTTGATCTGAAGAATATTATTGAAGCTAGTGACATTTGCTGGAAAGAACTGAACAATGACGGTGAAATTGAAATGGTATTTAATGGTATTATATCATTAGTATTATTATTACCACCAAATGAAGCAGAAAGTGTTGTCACATTATTTTGTGAGAAAGTGGGCAAAGCTCCTTCAAATGACAAAAGAATCAACATACGATTAAAGATGTTGTGTAATTTATTTCATGGTGTAGAGGCAGCGTCACCATTAAGATATGTTGTATATTTAAGTTTAGTCAGACTAGCAGGACAGGCTGATATGTTACACATGGTCCCTACAAATCTAGATGAGATTAAAGTATGGATAGCTAAATGGGATATAAGTTCACAAAAAGTACAGACATTGTTAAGAACATTACATAATGCATTAGTTCAAGCCAAGGCACAAGATTCAACTAAAGTGTTAATAGAATTATTAGGAACCTATACAGAAGATAATGCATCCCAAGCTAGAGAAGATGCTCAGAAATGTATTGTGACTTGTTTAGCTTATAAAAATATGTTTTTAATGGATCATCTACTCTCATTAAAACCTGTCAAATTTTTAGAGGGAGAGTCTATACATGATCTGTTAACAATATTTGTTTCTGGTAAATTACCACAATATCAACAATTCTATAAAAATAATCCAGACTTTGTTACCACTTTCCTTGGTTTGAAACATGAAGAAAACATACAGAAAATGCGAGTTTTAACTTTTATGCAGTCCGTTGAAAATAGAAAAGAAATAGATTTTGGTACAATACAGAAAGAAATGCAAATTGATGAAGATGATGTAGAAGAATTTATTATCAATGTTCTGAGAACGAAAACTGTATCGGCCTCAATAGACCAAATGCAGAAAAAAGTTTTGATAAATTGGACAACTCATCGTACTTTTGGTAAACAACAGTGGCAAGACAGAAATTAACCAGCTGGCAAACTTATTTGAATGGTGTTGAAAATAGTCTTCAATCTTTAAATACTATGGCTCAAACACCTCCATCTTAATGTATTTTACACCAACGGTCTACCGTGAAAGTATCTGCAGCAGATTCAGCTATACGGAAACTTTCTACCCTCTAAGGTAGCCTATATGATTCCTCCCATGGTTTGCCCGTGACATTTAAAGTAACACCTATGCTATAGCATGTACCGGTAAATAAACTGTATGTGTCAGAGTGATCGGTATCAGTGTCAAGATAAGTCAGCAGGTTTCGGATTTATCAAATCTATTTTTTGAAGATACCGAATTTGTAATTAACATTTCTGTAATTGTCAGAGGGTGGAGGTTATTGTTTTAATGAATTGTTTTATAGTGTCTAGATGTCGAACAATAGGCAGTCGTATATTGACAATAGTTTTTCTAATGAACGATTTCAACCATTTTAATGAGTACTATAAAAACTAAATGTGGATGTTTATTTTTAATTTTAGTGACAATTTGGATTGTCAACATATCAAGATGAAATATCTATATAAAGTCATTGTCCAGGCTTATGAAATCCAATCTCTATCACATCAGCAGTCCATCAATCAGAGGTGAGTGCTTTTTTTTTTACTTTTCACATATATCTGCACTTGGCATGCTTTGTCAATTGATGATATATTCAGTTTTAGAGTTACTGCCCTTGACTTAGTCAATATCATCTTGTTTGTGGATTTATGGATACTCACAGATTGATGTAACAAGTAAAAGATGGTCATATTCTGATAAACAATTTCTGTCCTTAACTGCATCAAAACGGGTTTGCTCGCGTAGTATATATGGCAAGAGTTTCAAATTATGCAGGCGGATTGATTACAGGTTCAGGCCACCCTTTCAGAAAGACTTGCTTTGTGTTTAAGATATCCAGCCATAATTAAAACGCACTATAGACAAACCGTCTAAAGAGGTAGTGGTTTTTTTCAAGTCGATAAATTTTAGATATTGAAAAATGCATAATTTTCACAGAAAATGTAATATACAAAATATTTCATTTTTGTTATGACAATGAAACACAACACAACACAACAGTTTAATAACTCTTTACATTTGGTAAAGGATCCCAATGGAGAAAAAGGCCTAATGTGGTGATTCCGAAAAGTTATCTATCACTCTTCAGTATTGAAATCGATTTCAACTATACATAACCTAACATACCAGACCGTCTCCTTTCTAAAATTTTACTTTTACAGAAGATGCAGTTATTATTTCTCATCTGTTTGCTTCCTACGGTGATAGGACATGGCGATCGTCGTGGAGGCCATGATGATATGGACACTGGAAAGACTGGGCACCTCCGGGTACGTGGTAAAATAATGATGGTGAAAGGGGGCGAGTGGAGTGGACATGGAATGGATAGTCATGAAGATGGAAGTAGATGGGGTGAATGGTCCAAAAGACACGATGATAACAGAAGGAAAATGAGTGGTCCTATGCATGGTAAAAAATGGTGGGAAAATTATAATTCAGAGTCAGGAGATAGAGGTATGAGAAAACGTCATGGACAAAAACCTTGGTCTAAGATGGATCGGGATGACGTGGACACGATGGACAAAGAATGGTCAATGGAGGATGGTGATGATGAAGAAAGAGGAAAATGGAGGAAAGATGGCTACAGACATGGTAGAGGTGACCGAGATGAAGATGATCAAGAAAGGGGTAAATGGAGAAAAGATGGCTACAGACATGGTAAAGGTGACCAAGATGAAGATGATGAAGAGAGAGGTGAATGGAGAAAAGATGGTTTCAGACATGGTAAAGGTGACCGAGATGAAGATGATGAAGGGACTGATAAGTGGGAGATGGATGGTTTCAGACATGGGAAAGACCAAAGACGACAAGAGTACAACCATGGAAATATGCATGGCTATCGAATGCATCCAAAGTGGACTACTGGTGGCAACAGCAAAGAGGATGAAGTACGAAGAGCTTATTTCAGGTTCTTTGGGAGATTCAACATGATGAAAGGTGGTAGAGAAATGATGGATCGCGATCAAAGACATGGTTCTGGAAAGAGTCGAGGACATGGAGATGACAACGATGGTGATGCCAACGACCATGATGGTGAAATGATGAAAGGGGATAAAAATAAATATTCTGCTATGATGATGGAAGACAAATTGAAAAAAGGCATGAAAATGTTATATAAGCAAGATCCCCATGTTTTAGGAAAGTTGATCACATTGTCATTTCTAAAGATGTGTGAATGCGAGGGAGACAGTGCTTCTAAATTATTGAAAAAATTTGTTGCAAAAGCTGAACATTCAGACGACATGGAAGAAGACACCAAAAGACCCAAACTTCCCGAAATTCCCGATTTTGGTTCTGACACAACGGCTAAGTTAGCTTTCCTGAAGAATCTTACCGAAGAACAAAGAAAAATGTTGTTTGGTTATGACTTGGTAAGAAATATGTGTGAAGCAGCTAAAACATATATGGTCAAAAGTAAAGAGTTTTATGATCAATATTTTACTGACTCTATGATGTCAACGACTGTATCAACACCATGAAGAGGTAAAGCACTTTTTTTTATTGTTGATGAATATAAATACTTTTGATTTTCTTAAACTCCTAGGACTGTTGTTCAAATATTCACATTAACATTCCATACTCTACAGTTTGTGTGTAAATGATAATGATTCCTTCTGATATGTGAAATCCCGTAGTCGTCACACGTTTTATACGCCAACCTGAAAATATTGAGCGTAAATTGTCATCACCCATGTCGGTCGGTCCGTTTATAATTGCTCGAAAACTCTCTAGAATGAATAATTTATGACGGTTATGATATGAGATATTGTCTTTGTTGTATGCGCTCTAGAAACTTTTCTCTAACGGATATGCCATTGATATGGACAAACCATGGTGAAATTCAACCGCGGATGAACCCTTTCAAACTTTAGAAATAAGAATTTTGGTGAAAACTTTGATAATGAGCAGTTTATGATACAGCTCCTCCACAGCTCCTTCAGGATTGACATAATTTCTCCACAAAAATTGGCATGGAGGTACGCTATATTGGTATGTAGGGCCTAATCTAAAAGGTTAAAGTCAGAAGCTTTTATTAATTTGAGTTATTTTTTTTAAAATTTACTTCTTTGAAAATATTGTACGCCTTAAGTTTTCTTATATGCTTAAATTTGGAGATTATTTCTATTTTGTGGTAGATGGATTGACTTACTAGTTTCTCTGACATCTTCGAAAATTTGATCATCGCGTCATTTGAACCACTTTTACACAAAAGTCACATGTCCGGTATCATAATAGTTCGAACAAAGATTTAGAAAGATAACTATGTGAAGTTTAATCAATCAAAATTAATGTTAGTATAACCTACATTACATGTTTAATTCATTAATACTATATCAATATTGACAATGTATTTAATTGATTCAATTATTTACTCATCCATTCTTTCCTTCAATCATTTCATCACAGACACCACCCATTTTCAAGTGCTCTCGATTACTCAGCACTTTAATTATTCGTGTTGTTTTCTTCTACATTCCGGTACATGTATTATTTTACTCTCCTATACGTTTCAACATACAAGTGTCAAAATGTCAATATCTAGGACGATTTAAGTTACTTTCTCCTATAAAAGTATTTCACTGAGATGTTATTTCTATGAAAAGGGCATCACTGAATATAATCTTTAAAGTTAGGAGCCCATCTGATGTAAAAGACTAGGTTTTCCGATATAAAATCCACGGGAGAAGAAGTTTAGAAGTTTCCAACAACAGTCGTTTAAAGGAATATACACCCCTTAATATTTGCTTGATCAATTATAAATCTTCAGAATTATAGACTAACTCCTTGAAGAAATTTAGTCGCCTTATTATTTTCTGGTCGTATGTGTACAAAAAACCAAACCACTAAATGATTGAGACAGATGAATATTATTGTATAGTAAAACTTTTACTAAGAAGAGTTACCCCGTGATAAAATTTGATCTGCCATTTTGACGATTGGAACAAAAAGACCACAAGCAATCTTTGGATAATAGTTTCTCTCAGCGCCAATTCATTACTCGTTTCTTCATTACTATATAAAATATTTTTTGTTGAATTTCAGATAATGAAGTACCACTAGCTGACGAATATTGATAATGATTATCTATATAAAACGTTGAGTATCTCAGGCAATAATTAATAATAATGTTGTAAATACTATAAAAATGATAAAGATAATTTATGGTACACTACTGTAATACTTTACACGGGGATCCTCTATACTCATTGCCAAATGCCAACCGTTATTGTATCTTTTCCATTACGTATCGAACTAAGATTAAGTTTTCCAAAAATAAGCCAACAAATATTTTCTATTTACTGTATATTATTCGATTTATCAGGGCCTTTCATTTTCCAAAATTTTTCGATCTTAAAGTAGGAAGCAGGCCCTGACTTGATTGTTGGGAGGGGCAAGTAATAAATATACCCGAGTTGCAATAATGAAATTTGTCGTTTTTCCGAATTTTTAAAGAGGCAAACCTCTCCCCCGCCCTACCTTGTAGCTACGGGCCTTGGAGTAAGTGGAAGCTTACATGGCGACCAACACTTGTAGGATACAAACAACTCCGTGTTCGAAGAAAACCGAAAATTCGATACCACAACGAGTATATCTGGAAGGAATTATTCCTTTACTACAAAGAATAGACCGTAATAAGTCCTCGACAATAGAAACCTTATTTATAGTATTCCGCCTTTGTTCACACTTGATCACGAATCAGACTCTTTACTGCATTTCAATTCAACAACATCCATTTGGTTCAAGCTTTCAAGTTTTTTTTAAACTCACCCATAATAGGACTTTGGCCAATGTATGTGTTAATTGACAATCCAGGCAAGTACGCTGTTATTATTTTTAAATGTTTTCAGAAGGTTCAAATTGAGCATGGTCAGCTGACAAATAAAATATTTTGATTCATCGGATGTACCATTTTGAAACAAATTGAAAATTTGTTGTTCTAGATAAAAAATAGTCATGAGCATCTTATAATGGCGGGCACTAAATCATGTTCCTTAAGCACCGCATAACAATATAATATGCTACCGGTGCTAAGGGACATGGCACTAAATCGGCTGTGAAGATCTTGTTTTCGACTATGGAATCAAGTCATGATACTCTAGTCGATTATCTTTAAATCTGTTTTTGAATGATGATTTGTTTTCGTATCCTTATCCATATTGTAATTGATATCAAAGTACTTTCTCTAACAACTGGCAAGTTTTAGCTCAATAATAGTCACATTTGGACAGTTTCTTTGAGATGTTTTGTACATTGCTTTACATCGCCAAGGACGTACCAAGCCTTTTTCGCTGCAAGCAAAGTTGAAAACATAGCTTAGCTGATCATTAGGGAAAATACAGATTTAGTGATTACCCTGCCCCCTTTTTGTTTTGGTCAATGAAAACAATTGTTGTTAACAACTTTATTTAGAAAAACTGACCATCAGAAGGTTCTCCAAAATCTGCTTCCTTAATGTTGTCCTTAAAAGAAATAGCCATAAATTAAATGTGGAAGAAAAAAAAATAGATGAAATCACGTGATCATCACTTCATCACCTCCGTTCATCACCTTTTAAACTTGTAAAAAGACTAGATAAGATATTCTATGTCATATGCGATGAGGAATTGGGACACAAGGTGAAAGTCAGTCGACCTTACAGACAACATGTGTTACATATTGTATGCACAATATACTGGGGGAACATTTTAAGTTGACAAGAGCCAACGTACGTGTATAAGAAGGAATACCTACCTTAGTTTTTCATGTAGGTTTCTTCGAATTCTTTAGCATGTACAATGAAGGTTTTAGCTCCATTACACATAGATTTAACAAGACCATAGCCGAACATCTTTTTCTGTTCTACTTTAGACAAATTTTTCAAGAACTCGGCTTTGGCAGTCATGTTACCCATGAAGTCAGGCATATCACCCTCAAACATATCACCCATCGTGCTATCTTTACTGCCCTTGTCATCTTTATTATCAAACATCTTCTCAATACCCATTTCATTCTGGCATTTACATAATGCAAGGAAGGCATGCGTAATCATCATGGCGTTTTTGTGAGCGTCGGATGCCATCTTTTTTAGTACAACTCCAAAATCGCCGGATTCTTCCTTTTTCATGCCATCGTCTTGTTCTTCACTCTTCTTTTCTCCCATCTTGTTCATTTTCCATTTCATGAATTCTTCAAAAACATTCTTCTTGTGTTCCATTTCTTTCATTTTCTGGAGCTTGTCTTTGAAAAGGAGGAACTCTTGGAATTTATGTAGATACATCATTTGATCTTTCTTGTCTTTCATCTGCCATTTTTCATATTCGCTCATCATGCCCCCTTCTTTTTTCTCCCATGAGCCCATGTTGTCTTCGCCCAACATACCAGCAAATACCATGGGTACCACACACACAAGAAACAAAAAGGAATTCATGTTGAATCTGAAAACAGACAAAATGATATAAAAATATAACATGAAACATTGCTGTTGTTGCAGAAAAAGTATTTATTAAAGTTTCTGAGTATTTAATATTTTTGTGGTCTCCATCTTCCCGTACCACAGCCAGCATTCTTGAATTTTGAGGGGAGAGAAGGAAAGACTTTGAAATACAATGAACTATAATGGTATACCAAGTCTCAACGACCTACGAATAGAGGTGACCGCAGTGCTGAGGAAAAAGGAGTTTGATTCACAGTTTTTTCTGCGATACGCTGAAATCATATTCTCAAGAATGCAGACTCAAAAAACCTATCTATAAAAAATCTATAAAACCTGCTTTGAATCATTTAAATCGCTTTAACAAATTTTTATGGACCGGGAGCTTCAATATTAATGCTTTCAAAGTTCAAACAAAACATATCAAGTATATACAAAGAGCAAATAATGCTAAACATGAAAGAAAAATGCACTATGATAATTTGTATTGCTCATAGAAATTGTATTTTTCATCTGCCTAATCATGTAATTATCAATTTATGTTAGAAGTCTAAAAGTTAAGTATACTTACCGAGTAAAAACTGTCTAATAATTAAGATAGGGTCTTCAAGTTTAATAGAACTAGGGCGGATATTTGGGGTATTTATACCCTCTCTAACTGGTTTTCATTGTATAAATAAACAAAGACTAAAATATCTCTATGCAAACTCAGATGACAAGCACTTTTGGGGCTTTGTAATTTCATTAGACATCTAAACAAACTAGGTGGCCTTGGTCCTTTCGGATCTAAGGGCGTGTCAGATATGAACTTTTTATTGGGTAAAATTATTCTATAAATCGAAACCGCAGAATACTTAACCCGTGAGTCAAGCAAAACAAGAGTCATCGATAAATATAGTAAGATTGGCATAGCGTTGACACTTTAAGTACACGTTTAGGTACTTTAGTGCAAGCAATATCAACCCACGACTTTCCTTTTTATTCATTCAATCTTTATCATCATCTTTTATGCTTATGCTTCAACGATTAGTGCAACGATTGAAATTTTGGATCGAAACGTGACATCGTTGGGTTTATCCTATCAGATCTCAGAAAAAAAGCATGAATCTGATCAATGAACTCGATGAAAATTTTAATAAATCTTACACCTCTCGGCTACCAGAAAACTTGAAAAGGTTTAGAAATCTTCAATTATTTGCCGACAACATCCGGTCAAATTTGATTAAACAAGAACGCTCCACTTGTTTTGACACGCAAATACATCTTTTAAACTTTGCCGACAGTGGCCAATTGGATACATGGTCAATCTAAAACAATGAAACATGTTGGTATCAAATCTTGATCTCTCTTAATACTGATCGTGAAAGACGTCCTATCAAAACAAAAAGTTTCCAGGAATGAAATTCTTGTACCAGATCTATAGTGGACAATTGAATGAATCAATTAAATTTTTATTGATGTTTTTTTTCCTTCGGGGAGGAGGGAATTATACAAAGAAATACATACTTAAAGAAATGTAGTTCACATTAAGTTAGTTACTGAGGAACGAAAATCCACGTTTGAAAAACCTAATTTGATTGAGGTAAACAATTGATGTAATTCAAGTTCAATTTGAACAAAAATTCCCAATTATTTTCTTTCATTTGACTTTATATTGTACGATGATAATGGGGTAACTGCTTTCTCTTAATTTAAAACATTCTACAATTTCTATGCCTATGATGATTTCAATGAAGTATTTTCTATTGGCTTAGCCAAAATACGTCTTGATTCGGCTAAAGTGCATCAACATATGGTTTGTGAAAAGGCTACATTAGCTCTTACACAATTGTTCAATCAAGACTTTGTAAATCAACTATTTTTTGAATTTGAATTTCCAAGTTAGTATCTTGAATTTTCAAGCTAGTATGTTGAATTTTCAAGTTAGTATGTTGAATTTTCAAGTAAGTATGTTGAATTTAGTAACTTGAATTTTCAAGTTAGTATGTTGAATTTTCAAGTTAGTATGTTGAATTTTCAAGTTATTATCTTGAATTTTCAAGTTAGTAACTTGAATTTTCAAGTTAGTAACTTGAATTTTCAAGTTAGTAACTTGAATTTTCAAGTTATTATGTTGAATTTTCAAGTTAGTAACTCCTAACTCTTCTCCAGCCGACAACTGTCAAAATATCAATCAGAGGCTGGAATAGAGGCAGATGTTTCGGACTAGATACTATTATTACTCGATCATCGATGTGAGTGTATTTGACATCGTTCATGCATTGAATATAGTGTGTGACGCCTGTCTTACAGACGATAAAATAATCGGAGACAATTATTATCAAACTGATATTTGATATTAGATAACCTGTCGGCGAAACGATAATCTTGTCCTGGAAGCACGGGCACATGCGAGATTTTACTGAAGATTCGAGTCGGAGACAAAAATCTCCGACCAAGACCGCTCGTGAGATCGCACCTTTAGACCGCTCGTGAGACCGCATCTTTAGTAAACTAAGAAAAGAAGGTAATTTTGAAAGGTTGTTATAATTTCCAAATATTAGTCCTATATTAGATAAAATTAGAGTATTATGACGAAGAGAATGTAGGCTACTTTATAATACCTATCCTCAAGATAATTATTGTATTAATCATATATCTCTATTTACTCATCTTAGTCACGGACTTTTGATAGATATCATGTATCAAGACACGTTTAACCATGTTCTTAACAGTAACATCCGACGGGTTATGTTCAACATAAAAAAAACGCTTGAAATTGCTGTAAAATTAACGGGAACTCAAAATGACGGCACTGGCGAATAGCAACATCTCATCGTCAAAGTCGATACAGAATCTGCTCAAATTTGCAGATTGGGACCGCTCATGTTGATTAGATCAATCATTTAAATCCTTAGGTCAGTATTAAAGAATTAGATTTCTGTAAGTCTGCACACGTTTTAGCACGGAATCCCTCTTTCAGATAAAGGTAACTGACACACCTCGTTATTTTTTTATCTATAATTGCTTTCTTTAATTTGAGCATTTTACTTTCCCAACCTGTTAAAGAGTTAGACGATAGTCCAAACCATATCATGTAGCAATAATTAATGAAAATATTAATTTAAAAAATGAAAACATTGTGTAATTATAAATCTGGGCAGTATTTTCTTACCATAAGGTAGAATGAACATTACTAATCTAGTAGAAATCATATAAAATAGTGTGATTTAAGACAAAGAACATGCCTGAACATTAGATAACAATCAATCATTAAAGTTTGTTGTTTAAAATTGATCATTGATCTAACAATATGTAAAAAAAAACAATAGGTGTATTCGCTTGTCTATGATTGACGTTCAATCATTATTTCCTTCTAATGTATCATACTGACACTAACTTTACATAAAATCATCCACTTTTTCACCTTTAGTTCCTTTTCATTTTCAGGGTTTTCGCGTATATAAAAGTTTTTTGACAATAATCTCCCTATGCAATAAAACTTGTCTTGTATATCTGGTGGCCCAGAAAAATGATATCACTTTTCATTTCAGAATTATTCAGAAAGTATCACAAACAAGGACTATAATATTTTGCCCTTTTAAAGGGACAGGTGTGCCATTTTGGAGGTTGATTTTAGTCTTGAATATATGGAAATAGTCTTCAGAAGTACAAGAAATGTACGGAAATCAGATAATTCCTTTAAATATACTTCATACTAGGAATTTTACTCACTATTGCTATCTGTCTTGTCTCTATATCACAGAGTATCTAAAATTGACAAGTCGTCATTTTAACATTCAAACGATAATTCTTGACACACATGAATTTGAAGGCTCAAATTTCGATAGTGAGCTGTGAACACTGTTACTTATAAGCTCATATAAGTTTCTTAGACTGGTTTGGTCAAAAAATGGTCTACCTGTTCCTTTAATTATAGAGATTTTAGTCATCTTTTCACATATTTATAGCACTGAAATAACCTTCTTAACCTTTTTATATGCCTACATGAAAATTTCTTGTAAGCGCAATAAGGGATACAGTTTTTATCCGATTTTAATGAAACTTAGTATACATGTATATATTGATGTTATCTCGAATTTGGCTCATTTTGGTTGGTCATTGCACTTGACTTAGTTCAAATTCATCAAAACACGATAGAAGCTACAGTTTAAATCCGATCTTGATGAAACTTGGTATGCATGTATATATTGATAAGATCTTGATCAATTCGAATTTGGCTCATTTTCAATGAATAGTTTTTGAGTTATTGCCCTTGACTTAGTAGAAAGATTCTTGTAAACATGCTGGGGTCTACAGTTTTTATCAGATCTTAATGACACTTGGCTATGCATGTATAAATTGATAAGATCTCGGTTAATGGTGAATTTGGTTCATTTTCAATCAATGGGTTTTGAGTTATTTCCCTTGACTTAGTAAAAATGCACCAAATTTGACTTGTATTATGTGACCAACATTTTCAGGACAAACAATGCGAAAACACTTTAACATGTCAAAAATACCTTTCCGGTTACATCTAAGGGGTATGATTACATGTATGTATATCTCTACAAATCTATTCTTCAGTTCCTAGGTAAAGAATTTATAACAAGTAGTAGATTTTTAGTTGTATACATTTTATTTGTTAGATATACTCCAATTTCAAAATTCAGAAGGTAATATTTTCACAGACAAAGACTGCTATTTACTATGATTTTTAAAATTCCGAAAATCAAATATTAGACCTATTAATTATTTAAACTCTTTTCACCGCTTTTTACTGAACGTTTTTTTTTTTCTTTATTGCCGTCGATACGCTTACGTAAAGACTTTGATTCAAATGGGTTAGCTATGATTATACTTACCTAGCGATTGTGATAAAGATTTTGTATGACACTTATTTTTCGTCTAATTTTCTCAAAATCTAGATTAGGTTAAGATGCTGGTCTGCCCCAAAATATACTATGCTCCTACAATTTTGCAATAATCAATTAGATACACCGATATAAAATAAATACCGAGTGTTTCAGAACAGTTTCTCTGCGAGTGTTGAATATCTTGTGTGGCCGCCATCTGGCTGGACCACATCCTGCATTCTTGAGTGGTATAATTTTCATCAAATCACATGACACCAGAGAATTAAACTCCGATTTCCTGAGCTCATTGGTCACCTCGCATCGTCAAAGGTTATTCAGACTATAGGTATACCATCGATGTGGTTCAGGCCGATGACGGTCACACAAAATTAAATGCTCAAAAGAAACTTAAACGTATTCTGAATCCCTTTTGTTTTGCCCATATTTATATCAAATGAGGCCATGCTTAAACAAAAATTCCTAGAAGAAAACAAAAATCGAAATATTTTAGGAGAAAAGATGAAAAAACCCTGGGGCTAATTTAATTTCTATATTCTCAAAATTGCTATTTTATTTTGTTTTAAGTTTGATTAATTGATCTGTAGATCTATTTCTAGTATTTTTATTCTTTTTTTTTAAACCAGAATTGAAGAATGAGATCTCGAAGATGTTTTATAAAAAATTAAAATTCAACCTAGCAGAAGATATTATGACATGGTTTGATGAATGGTAGTTATAATTTATTATAATATTGAAATATTTCTATAAACGGTTGACTGTTTTACTACTGACGTCAATCTGAAACTTCATTTTTGTCGCCTATAAAAGGAGGGACCACTTATTGTATTCGTTTATGGGAATAATAGACCTATCACCAACAGGATCAAGACATAAACAAACCATGCAGACTTCTCCTTTGGTCTTTACAACAGTTATTACCATATTAATATGTGTATTTACAGTTGACAGTGCACCATTGAGTGAAGGTACGTTTGTCTTTTAGTGAAACTATTATCTTTTTGATAAATATGGTGTTTGATTTACAACTATCTGTCATAACAGTGGCTCAAAATTAGAGCAAGGGTTCCTTGATATGGCCAGGTTTCTATCAGATGTCAATGGTTAATTGTGGCAATAAATCATAAGTCATTGTTGTGTCGATGACTCAATATTGTAAAGGTATGACATGGTTACATGGATTGTCTGTTAGTTGTTTGTTCAGATATGCTTGTGAAAAGGATATTAGGGGTGACAATTGAAATATGACAGTAGGTTTCAGGACACGCCATAAACTAAGCACATTTTACACCACAACTTTGGAAAGACTATGAACTTACATTTCGAAGTACCTTAGTCTTAAAAAAAGGTTTTCAACTATTTCTCTGGTTCTAATGATTGTCGTTTTGATTATTATATCATAATACAGTCTCAATGGTAATTTAACGAATGAGCGCAATTTGACAACTTCCTGTTTTATTGTTATAATCGAACAACTTGCGTCATTCTCAAGTCAGTTTCTCCTTCCTGCTCCACAGAGAGAAACCTGGTTGAAAAGTAAGATTGTGCCTTGGGATCCATGTGGAAATTTTAAAATTGACTTGACATTAAACACACTGGAATTATTTAATTCGCCCACATTGGATTAAAGGCACATTTTACAATTCCACTTTGTTATTGAGGTTTGAAATCAAGACAAAAACAAAACAAGTTTGGAGTTGGACAGATCATGATTGCACGTGTATAATCACGTTGTCAGAATGTTGTGTATTTAAGGTATATAATAACGCTTTAGCTCAAACTGTCAAAATCTGTCCATTTTTAAGTCATGATATGTCATTATCATGATAATTTAATAACCATGAAATCATGCGATGTGAGCTTGAACTTCTTTTAGTATCATCTATGAATATATAATAAGGCTGAAATGTATATTCTGACCTGTGTATGATTTATTATTGGCTGTCTGTATTTATATAAACGCTTTAACCTTAAACAGAATCTAACATGTAACCAACAATATGCTGCTTCGTGTCTTTTGTCAAAACATGATAGATCGTGTTCGAAGTTAAAACTTTGAACTTACATAACATCAAAATTAACCCAGTGAACGTAAACACAAGTCACAAATCAATAAAACAAACATGAAATGATTCAGTGATCATGCTGGATCACATTGTCTAAAATTGTACCATTGCATAGTTTCAACCAGTAAATACTTTTGCTTCAGGTATTTTTGGTCAAACTGAATATAAAGGACAACGTAAATTCCAGAATGATTTTTTCTCAGAATTTTTCCCCAAGAGTCGACTCACAGATCCCAAGCGTAAGTATTTCTGTTGCGATAACAGACCTCGTATGAGGCCTTCATATGTCATCAGACGAAAAGTGGCATTTAAGAAAAAAACATTAATTCTATGAATGTTGTCAATCATGATCTGATGTTATGATCTGATGTTGCGTTGGACACGATATTTTCTTAAGTACTCATGGAATCAATATGCCTACTGTTTTGTAAGTTGTTGATATAACGGACGGTGATTTGGTGATGTACAAAACGGTACACAGGGTAATGTAATTCAAGTGAATCAGTCGTCTAAATTGGGAATTAAATCGTATTTTTCTGATCTTTAATCATAGTTTTACCAAAAAAGTCTGTAGTAGTTGTTGAACCACAGAAGAATTTTAATGCTTTACAAGACGCTGCTTGTACTATAACATATGACGGTGAATGTGTACCAGAAGCTCAAGCAATTTTACCTAAAAATATCTATTCAAGAACAATTTGTGGACCAGGTTGGGTTTGCTATGAATAGTGGTAAGTATTTCAAAATTCGCCCGTAGTTTATGCATATTGCTTAAAAACATGGAAATAATGGTCTCTTTTCTCTGACAAATTCAACCCCGATATATAAGACATCTATCGTTAGATTCATTTATATCGAGCGAATCCCACCGGTCAATTTTGATGGATAACGAAATAAGATGTTTGTAAAGTGATGAGCAGGAAGAAATTATTTAGGAAGTTAAATGCAACATGTTATTTTACCTTTAAATTGAGTCAATTATTAGTTGGGTTCATATTGCACCCAATAAACATTCACGTGTCTGATACAAACCTAGATAGCAATAATATTACGGTTTTTGGGGGTGTTTTTTTTCAGCCAAGTTGGTGGAAAACAGAAAATCCTTTCATATTATATATATTGAATTATTTATGTGCTTGATACAGACAAGTGAATAATTTGGAAATGTGTGGACATGCTGATTTAGATTTTGCTTAGTAAAAATCCTCTTGTAGCCGATCACAGAATGTCAAACGAAAAAATTAAAATAAAGTTTTGACTTCCTTGAACCCGAGACCATTCTGGACAGCATCCTGTTTGATGGCATACAACGCAAGCATCATGGGGAGGGTTGGGAGAGATCCAATAATATTTTGAAAATTATCGTTGATTTCCCTTGCATCTGAATTTATTGGATGGATTACCGGCACTGGTCCAAATATCTTACTATGGGTTCAAGACGATGCACTATGGCATCAGCCATCGCCTGAACCACGTTAGCTCAAGCGCTAAACAGTGGTAGCGCGAGTGGGGGGTATAGAAAGATGGTTGGACCCTAATCGTTATACTAACCATAGATGCACATGCAATTGGAGAATTGAAAGTTGAAAAATGGCCGCCGAACGTTCACGGCTTATGGGCCTACAAGTGAAATCTTATAATTTAAAGGTCGCTCAACTTGTTTTTTTTTTCTGTTTGAGAAGCTGCTAACAAAATCTGGAAATAGTAATGGTTTACCATTGCCACTATTAAAAAAACGGAAAATATGGTCTGATCTTGAAAGAAACGCAGAAAAAACAATAATACGGAGAAAAGCTTACAATAATTAAAAACTACATGGTTCCATGTGAGGATACAAAATGATGATTCAGTTGAAAAAAAGGAATATTGGTTTATTGTGTGGATAAACACAGGAACAATTCTGTGAAATACAGAGTATATTAAAGGTATTATATCATTTTAGGTCACAGATATAAAGTATATTGTACCTTTAGAGCAGGTTACATATAGTTCAAGTTTTATAGTGATATAATTCTACCAAACCCAACTTGAAAGTAACACCTTCATCATAAGTAACATTTCTTAATATTGGCGACCTTAAAACATTATACTATGTGTTAAAATTGTACAATGAAATCCTTAAAATCAACCGAAAAATATGGAATTAGACTTTTCATAATTGGACTTCTAATTTACTTAATCTTTCTTTGATTCCAAATTTATCATGGTGTTTGAGTATTGACTAAGAAATAGTTATTCCTTATAAAAAAAATAAGCTAAAATATAATAAGATTATAGATTATGAAGCATTATCTGAGAAATCGTACCTTCGTAAATTAATAAAATGGCTTTAATGCTAGCTGCAAGACAATACTATTATAGATCTGAATTCTTTATTTAAGACATGAACATATATATACATTACTCTAGTCTTGATAATCAGAAATAAGTTATCTTATCCCATTATACCACTGCCATAACTTTGTCTGTATAGTCGTTCAAACTACTCTTAAGGATGATTCAGGAGTAAGAAAACTTTATCATAATGTGCAAGTTCTCATTAATAAAAAATACTCGGTGTATAATTATAATGCTGTTTGGTGTTTTTTATGTTCTCTCAATGCTCTCTTTTCTTATCTCATGTCTGTTATATATTTCAAATAAGGTTTACAAATATTGAGCAATATATATTAATTCTGATTTAAGTATAAAAAGTTACATGATATTTTCCATTCTACACCAGTTTCATGAGTACAGAAGAAAATAACTTTAAAGTTGACAATAATATGTTTCATATCACAAAAAAAAAATTTATAGACAAGATAGCTAAAGCACCATAAACCATAAAAAATGTAATAAAGAAAAAAATTCAACAAAACAAAACTAATACTTTAAATTTAACTTTGATCAATCAATTCAACGTTACCAAGGCACAATATGATTTCAAGAGAGATAGAACAGATTATAAAACATTGCCAATCAAATATACAGACCATTGGCCCACAGCTATATTTGCTACAGTCAATTCATCTAGGAATCTTTATTTATTGTGTGGAATGATGGCAAGGTTTTAGTAATACAGTATATTAATGTTACTGAATATTACATCTAGAGTGTAACAAGCATATTATATAAAAGAAATGGTTTGGACTAGTAAAACTTTCAAGTAATATTTACACCAACAGTTATTGATGTGATTGATGTGATTTTTTTGTCCACCAGTTCGCAAACACTGTACCAAAACTTAGTTTGTGATATCAGCCTTTGCAATACAAAAAACAAAATATAATAACAGGCAGTACAATATAAACAGTTCACATAATGAAATATTATAATATAATAAAATATAAAAGAAAATACTCTGTGATATCAAAAGTTTCTCCTTTTACCATTGGAACACAATTTCATTACTTGTATTATTATCTGAAATAGAAAGGAGAATTAAACCTTTTCTACATTGAAAATATACAATTAGTTGATAACACAAATTCTAGCCAATTGCTACTAACATATTCAAATAGATTAACCCTATGTTTGGAATTACACTATGAGGACTTGTCTCATTTTTGTAAGTGAAGGGAAATAACTCCAGAATAAGGCTAGCAGTAATTTTATTCATTTGGATCGAGGATAAGTATCACAACAGTTTCTTTTGTGCCCGATTAATTTAAACACATAAGGTTTTTGTTCCTAAATATTTCTCACATGTGGCTCACAAGGAAAGTTAGAAGAATACAGTCACAAAATATTTACTTCATCACCAGCTAATGAAGCTATTATATTTTGTTTTCTATGTGTAAGTACTAACCGTAATCAAAAGATGTTGAGCTATAACAGGTTTTCATTTCTGGACGTGTAAAAATTCTAACACTCTTTCATCTTCAACAGCCTCTTGAAATGCTGGATAATCCTTGAAAATCAAATGTTACTAATTATAGAAATAAAAACACTAAATAAGTAATTAGCTCAACCTTTTTAGAATGTTTTTAATAGTCAAGTAGTTGCAAGTATATAGATTCTAAGACAATGGCCAGGTGCACCCACATTACCAAGCAATTGGTAGAAATTTCAGTTATGTAACAGCTTGTCAGACAAGGTAACATAATGTCCACTGGCAGCTTTGTTTATATTAGAACATTTGGCAGAACAACAACCATCACCAGAATAAAATATTCAACGTCTATTCAACAGTTTTCAGAACTTTTTAGTTTTTGATATGGCTCTCTTCTTTGGTAATTAATATTCAAATCTGCAACAAACTGTTTATAACTACCGGCACTGAAAGAGATCAATCATACTTACTCCACAATATATCTCTCCATTAAAGATTTGTGGTGGTAGGGCATCAGGCTTGTTGGCTTTACCTCTCATTTCATCTTTTAGACCACCACTCATATCACTTGATATATCAATAAACTTGAAGGGTAATTTTTTACTAGTTAAAACCGTCTCTATATGGTTCTGTTGTGTTGCAACCTATAAACAACAATAACCATTTGTAATCAAGCATTCATTATAACCAAAATGGTTTTAAAGGAGTTAATTTCCTTTTCTCCTAATTTCTGAGTTGACTGGTTGAAATTCCTCAAAAATGTCTATAGCTAATTAGACAGTATTTTGACTTGAATACGAGAATTATAACATATTAGATATTAGTGTACAAAGGCCTCAAGGAACTTATGACCAAAGGGGATGTGGTTTGAATAGATAGATATTATTGTCAGTCTGTCGGCTGCCGTGTAGACCTATTAGTCAAGAGCATTTATTAATCATTTCTTTAAAAAAGAAATTTCTATACATGTACAATAAGGTTTCATTTGTCTCATCATAATTTGTACAGCACAGATTGTTTATACTGGACAATATAACAGACATAAGTATGAACCTTCACAGCAGGAAGTGTTTTATTTCCCTTGCAGGACAACAGTAAACATATACACCAATAGAGAAAGAGGAACATACTTAACCCATTCACAACAGTGCTTAATGGGTTACTTATCTTTGAACCTTTAAGTTTTGTTAATGGCATATAGAGAATCAAATCAAAAGTCAGAAAGAAAAATTAAAGCATACTTAACTAAAACCACACGAGGCACAGAGTGGGACTTTGCAAATGTAGCAAAATGCAAAAGACCCTGAAAAAATCAACCTTCCACGATAATTAGATCAAGCGCAAGAACAGTCTAAAGTTATTTTCATTTTTTTACAAGATTTTTATACCGGAAGTGGACGTCAGACCTCACAAATGAAAGTATCAATGATCTTTGATCTTGCAAAGGAGAAGGCCTAAAAAGGTCAAGATCAAGAGATATAGATATATATTCAAAATATTACGTGATGTTCCAAATGTCAAGTTCCTACATAATAGAGGTCAAAAGATAAAGGTCACCAAATGTCAACAAAGGTCAAAATCGAAAAATGAAAATATCCAAATGTTAAAACCCGTTCCTTTTTTGAAACTATAAAGCTGAAACAACTGAGCTATTAATACATACTGGCCAAAAGGATGAGGTAATTGTGTGCAAAGTCTCTTTTTTGAACAAACGCATCCTATGCGAGTTATGCTCCAGCCCCAAAATGTAAACAATTAGAAATTCAACCCGGATGTGCCACGCCCACATAAGTTTTTTTGTCATAGGTTAATTCATATTCAAAGTGTAGTTATATTCCAAATATCAAGGTTCTACATCAAATAGATCATAAGATATACATACACTAAGCTCAAAAAGTCGCAAATATTGTAAAAAAAAAAACTCAAATTTGAAAAAATCACGAATTTCAATTTTGCTTTAAAATAACGATTGTTATATATCTATGTAAAGTGCACGAGAAGCACATTAGGAGACTTACTTTCTAGGTTAATTAGGTCACGTGCTAGAGCAGTCCAAAGTTGCAAATTTGGATGTTTTTGGACAGCTATAAAAGCGAAAGTAGACGTCAGAGGTCAAATATGAGAGCATAAACTACTAGACAACGTCAATGACCTTTGACCCAATAAAGGTCAAAGTCATCAAAGGTCAAGGTCAAAAATTGAAAATTTTGAATTTCCAAAACCTGTTCCTTTTTTTGAACTAAGAAGCGGAAACAACCGAACTTCTAAGACAAAGTGGCTCAATTCATGAGATAATTGTATGCAAAGTTCCATTTTGAACAAACGTATACTTTGCGAGTTATGCTCCTGGCCAAAAATATCAATAATGAGTAATATTACCCGGATGTGCCACGCCCACCTTAATTTTTTTGCATAGGGTAATTGATATTCCAAATGTTATGTTGTGTTTCAAATTTCAAGCTTCTACATTATTCAAGTCAAAAGATATAGGTCAACAAATGTCAACAAAGGTCAAAATCGAAAAATGAAAATATCCAAATGTTAAAACCCGTTCCTTTTTTGGAACTATAAAGCTGAAACAACAGAGCTGTTAACACAAACTGGCCAAAAGGATGAGGTAATTGTGTGCAAAGTCCCTTTTTTAACAAACGTATCCTATGCGAGTTATGCCCCAGCCCGAAAATGTAAACGAGCAGTAATTCAACCTGGATGTGCCACGCCCACCCCAATTTTTTTGCCATAGGTGAATTCATATTCAAAGTGTCTAGTTGTATTCCAAATATCAAGGTTCTCCATAAAATAGGTCATAAGATATACATACACCAAGATCAAAAAGACACAAAAATGGTAAAACAAAACTCAAATTTGAAAAAATCACGAATTTCAATTTTGCTTTAAAAAAGCAATTGTTCTGTATCTATGTAAAGTGCATGAGAAGAACATTAGGAAACCGAAAAAATTAGGTTAATTAGGTCACGTGTTAGAGCAGTCCAAAGTTGCGAATTTGGCTTTTTACGGATAGCTATAAAACCGGAAGTACATGTCTGGGGTCAAAGGTCAAAGTATCAAATGATAGGCAAGGTCAATGACCTTTGACCCTATAAAGGTCAAGGTCATCAAAGGTCAAGGTCACGAGATACAAGCCTTCAAAAATTGAAAAAATTCGACCGGAAGTTGCAAAAAAGCAAAAGTCAAATTCAAAAATCCATTCCCAACATTTTTGTCACCATCGACTAAAGTATACGCCAACATAAAAATTTGACCAATCCCATTCTCCCCCGAAGCCCCATTTTGAGTTTTATTAAAAAGTATCAAATCAAGATGGCGCCCGAAGTATTTTTTTCGGACTAAATTTTATTTTAAAATCGGCCATGGAATTAAGATTAATAACGATATACATAATTTCGTTGAAATATTTCAATCACACCGGAAGTTATTCAACCGGAAGTGAAAATCGATTTTCCACTTTAACCGGAAGTGACGCAAAAATTTTGAATACGTCAAATTGTTTACATTAGTGACATGCATCTTTTATCAAAATTTCAGATTAATCCGAAAAAAACGGAATAATGGTCCAAAAATTTCGAAAATTGGCCAAAAAAATGTATGCTACGAATTTTCGAAATTTGAAATTTTTTAACTCATATCACATCGGAATTTAGTCACAGATTCCAAAAATGAAGACCCGAGCAAAATTGGCCCAAAAATGTGGCTTCCAGGGTCAAAAAACCCGTTTTTGCACATGTTGAACTATGGCATTTCCGGTTTTGCAAAAATGTTCCAAAATACACTTAAGGAACACGTCGCCACAACAGAAGGTCTAGAGAAGTTGAATGGTTACTGCAACTACTGCAGTCTAGGCTCAGGAAGGTGTGTAAATTTCGAAAAAAAAAAAAAAAAAAAAAAGAATTCACATTTCGATAACAATAAGCAATTGTCGTCAAGAAGATTGCCACAAATTTTGAAAGATCAAAACTATAATAGAAAGTACATGGAAACCACTATTTTCGGCTATCAATGACTTAATTCAACAACGGATTAGATTCATTCACATTATGCTAGTTTCGAAAAGTGGATCAAATGTAGTTGTTCCAAGTTTCTACCATATGCAAGACCTCCTTAAGTTGTAATATGATGCTTACTTCGATTTTTTAATTTGCTTTAACAATTGTTTATATCATTTTAGAGCAAATTGAACAGTAATTAATAAATAATGTTTGTGTTTTAATATAATTAAATATTCAATAAATCAGGCATAAAATTAAATCAAAATAATGTATATTGATCAAACCTACATATTGTCTACAACCTATATAGCAACAATAAATTTGATCATTAATTTTTAACACCTGACAATTACAGAGAAACCTCAATATCAAGGGTGTGGATGTATTGGAAAATGATTCATTGAGAATTTTATAAAACAGGACTGTCTTGTCTGACTGCCTTAAACACTCAAATCATATATCATACTGAATTATATCAGTCTAGCTTACTAGGCTGAATACTACTTTCTAATTCATTAACAGACAATAAAGTAACTAAGTTAGGCCTATGATAAAAAAAATATGCTGATATAACCTACGGTACTAAATAAAAATTCCTAGCAATGAATGATGGACATAATAGCGCTTAGGGAGAGAGCACTTTATTCAACAAAATGCAAACAGCAGCTGTAATTTGAAATAAACATTCTATTGTACTACATTATTACAGATTTGAAGTCCATACTCATATTGGCAGAGTGTGGATCAGTCTCTGACTCTGATTAGCATCAATAATGCCCCCTATTATTCAATGCCTATTGTCAGTCGGGTCATAGTCGGAGTTTGTAGTGAAATATAATTATATTAAACTTAAAAAGTAAGGTAAGGCCGAGTTTGTAATGAAAAGTGGGACGAGTTTGTTATGAAAAGTGGGCCGGGTTTGCCGTGAAATATTTTTGAGAAAAAAAGTGCGCAGAATTTGCAGTGGGCTGAGTTTGTTTTGGTCCGAGTTGTCCTGATTCAACTGAAACAAACTTGCATGCAGATCTGATCAAATCATGAATAACATTGCCAAATTCAACCCTACTTTCAATTTATTTCCTTGTCCCAGTTTGAAGTTAGGCCTATTGTCTCATTCAACCACTTGAGTGACAGGCACGCCTCACATCTAGCTGCTTCGCACTTAGTCATATACTGGACTACATAAGTTAATTTCCGTATCGGTTACTTACATTAGAATTGGATGATATAGTAGTTCCATAAACTCTGATAGCTGCTTCTGAACTCATTTCGTAAATTAAATTTTTGTCACAAATCTAATAAAAAGCCTATGCCTCCTGTCTAACCATTAGTCAATCCGGAAGTGGGCTATTCTATTCTTAGTTTGTAGGGAAACATTCAGGACATGGACGAGTACATTATTATGTCAAAGTACAAAAATATTAAATAGTTGTCATTTAGCATAGTTAAAAAATATATTATGTTAGTTCAATTATATGCATTGTTCAGACTATAAGTTATCTCTGTTGCGACTTAAGCCTAAGTAAGTATAGGGATGCGAGATGCCTTGTTGAGCGTTGTTATTTTTCTACAATTTTTTGTTTGTCTACTTTTGAATACTTTCAATAGGAATAGAATTATTTGTTAGAGTGTAGGCCATAACTGTCCGAAAATGCGCTTTGATTAAAAAAAAAATATGGCATGGCTTAGATAAGCGGTATCAACGCGCATCGTCTGTTTACACACAAAATGAGTCAGTTGGTGTTTTTGAACCACTGATGATTATCTACTAAATGCTTTATAACATCTATACCTTGGTTAATCTATATATTCCAAGGTTCAGACTATTCCGAAGTTTGACTTATGAGTAACATGAGTTTTATAGGGATTTATTAGAAGCTCTTTAGCTATTGCATAATGTTTTTGTATTACATTCATACTTTCTAATTGCGCCTTTCTGATAACCCATCCCGCATCTGTTGATTCTATCATTCCAGAAAGCTTGACGCAATGAAAACAACAATTCATTATTACCTACTATGGCCAATGGCTTAATCGATCAAAAGCTAGAAAACATTTGTAACGACTTTTTCACAGCGTTACATTTTGGAGTCTTTATTTGGTTTCAAGGAACAAACTTTTATCAAAATATTATATCTGTATTATAGACTGACGCCGAGAAATACTTGTACTAGTAGGAATTCAGCTAAGAAAGTATTAGAAATACACGAATTAGAGTCACATATCTTCTGAGATATCAACTTATTAATAAGCCAATGATTAGCCTACTTATCAAAAAATACATGAAAACTTACTTTTTTCATGAAAGTAACTGAAGTTATGTAGACAATAACCGTCATGTTTCTTCTTTGTTGTACTGTCTGGCAGTATATAAAGTCACGTGACCAAATATATCAGTAGCAGAGATATGGTGGAACCGGCTCCAATTTCATCAGAACTCTATTCCAGCTGGCCCAACATACTAATATACATGTTCCAGGGTTCAAGACTACAATTATCTGTGTAATTTATGTTCTTGTACGAAATGTACTTTTAAGATAAACAACATCATTGCCTGAATATGATAACTCTAAGCGCATTTAATAATGTTGAGTCGATTTTCCATCCTTAATATATCATAAATTTTCGAAGTTCTTCTACGTAAAACACGACAGGTTTTATGATAAATAAAATCCCGATTCTCAAGGGGCTTGCCCCTAGGGAAAGGATTTTAAATATCTTTAAAAAAAAAAACGAGGGAAAAATGTTGTATCTGACTTATGAACCTCTAATATGCTAGGAAACTTTACAGCCTATGCAAAATAGTTTCGTGAGTATATGAAGAAAATATAACGAATCAAGACAATGGGCCATTCTTACACACAATACAAAATGAAAGACAAACGGTCGCTTGAACCCAACTTACATCTGAGAATGTCTGTGTATGGACGTGACCAGCATAATCTCTACCAAATCATTCTCGGGGAAAGAGCAGATTTCTGCCAAAAAAGGAGTGCAATTCTTATCTACAAACGTGGTCAACCATTGAGCTAGACTATACATTTGATAAGGCGTTCTGGGGTCTTACATGCATTGTAAATACCGGGATTTACATTGTAATATCGTGGAAATTGATAAGTAATAATGGCAAGATGTCACAAGAGGGTTATACTATGAACTCTCTTCTACTGGTATCTAGTGACGTGCACAGCTGCTGGATGGTAATCGTAGAATATGTCAGACATTTGTTATGTTGAATAGGGCCTGAGCAAGAGTGTAGTTATATCAGAAAAATCTTGCTATCCAGGCCACGATTTTGTAAAACGTTCTTCTATGATACGGTACTTCTTATTCTGTAGTAAAGAAACTTTTCCTTGTCAAATATAGGTTGGCTAGTCAAAGCCCAATCTGGACTGGACAAATCATCTCATGCCGCTGACATATCCTTCAGATACAAATATCAAAGCTATCACAATCTCACTATAACATAGATTCTGATAAAACCTTTTAACATATATCTGTGGATCAAATGAATAATTACATCGTTGTAGTTAATTATGTAGATTGATGCTTGTGATAGAAGAAACATTTGATTTAAATTCATGGTCAATAATTCATTCCTATTGTGAGTTTCAACTGTTATAGAAACACATTAACTTGCAATTTGCAACTTCCAAAGTTAGTGGATCACTTCAAATGTTGCTAACTGTCCAACTCCTACTTGATCTTCAAGTATTTACATAAACATAATCATAATCCATTAAACTATAGATTCTATGAGGGCTTCTCTGAGGAACGGGTGAATATGGATGCTGACATGACACTCACAAGGAGATGTGGGCATATAAAAACTGATGTATGGTAGTTTCATTACCAGTTAATTCAACTTTGGCAGTGTGTCTTACTTGTATGGACACACATGGTGTAATTCAGAAGACAGCATAAAGAAATCTTTGATTAACATATTCAATTTAATTTTATGTACAATATCATCACACCAACTGTCCATTTCTCATACAATAAGTGAAGAAAAACTGTACAGTAATTTCACCCAAACTGTTCATTACTTTTAGTAAGATTATTTAAAACCAAAGATTTAAGACCTCACTGGGTCCACTGAAAAAATGATAGTAATACATCTAAATTTCAGTTAAGAAAAAAGTAAAAATATAATATCATTGCAAATTGTAAAGGCTCCCGAAAAAGGCACTTATTTTTACCAACTTAAAATTTTCCTATTCATCATAAAGATGTTCTTTCTTTGACATAGAAAGTAACACAAATGTTTGAATTGTACAGAAATATTATGAGTTCATCTTGATTTTAAGACTACACATATGGTTATGACTTGGAATAGCTACAGCTCCTGCAACAGCAATACCAATTGTATCACCTAGAGAAGCAGCTCCTAAACTAAACTCTCTATGTTCTGCTGGAATCTGAAAAGACAGTTAAACATGCATAAAAATATATATGATCATTAGAGGCCTAAATCATTGCAGAGATTTAACCAAGAATTAAGTATGAAATCTTAATTTAAAATCTTAATTTAAAATAAGAAAACTTCTGGCCCAGTCTGTGCTTTAAAGAATGGACCAATGGGTGTCACTGAGCCATATCCACCTAGTTATAAGGCATGAAATTATTAATGATTACCTCTATAGACATTCTATAGAATGTATTTACATAAGCTGCTCCTCCCAACAGGCCTTCAAATAATACTATAGCAAATATGATCCAAACATTTGGAATATATCTATAGAAGACTTGACTTAGTAACACTGCCATATTGACTAACTGAAATCAAAAGTACTTGTATTTTACTTAGTACAAGAATGAGTTTTGAATCTCATAATCATCATCATCACCTCTCATTAGCCCCAAATCTCGTAATAAGAAACCCACGATTCTCATGATTATATTGCCAAAAGGCTCGTGATTTTATAGCCATCAGGCTCATAATTATATAGCCACAAGGCTCATGATTATAAACCCATATATCTAATGATTATGTATCCAGAAAAAAATTAATTCCCAAATCCTCAAATTTCAAATTTAATAAACCTCAGCCTAAATAAGGTTGGATGACTGTAATTGGTAGGTCTGTATGCTGTAATTTTCAAAATATGAAAAGTTTACCTGTAATAATGGTAGTATCCATAATTTTTTTATTTGTAATAAATTTACAGATGATCTAGATAAAAAAACACCAATTTGATAATCCACTTGATACCTGCATATTAAATAAAATCACTGAGCAATACACATCGTCAAAAACAAAACATCAATTACAGTATATCTATAAGCAGAATTTCAATGAAGATTATTAAAAGTATATGATACAGCATATATACATGACAGAAAAGTTCATATGAAATCAGTCACAAAGTGAACAGATCAAAAAGACAATGGAACAGAGTATGTAAATACAGAATATGTAAGTGAGAAAAAAACTGGGGGTAAAATTAGGTAAAGTGGAGAATTTAGTTGGGTACATACATGTGTACAGGTCAAGAAAAAAAATCTGGAGATTTGCCTTGGTTACATGAAATTTCACTTACCATCTATACTGCTCTTTTTTTTCTATCCATATGTTATTAAAGTACAATAATTCATGCTGAAATAAATCAAAAACATCAATTAAAGATCATTCTTGACAAAAAATTACTTTCGTATGAAGTAGTTTCTTTTAAAAGTGCAACTTAAGTCCAAATGAGAATTGGGTAGTCATTTGCAATGATTCATAAAATAAGATGCAGATGATAATATATTCTGAAATACTTACCAAACCTTGATTAATAAAATATTCAGCAAAATAAACAGTTGTTAATGGAATCATATATTTCAACAATGGCTAAAACAGAAACAACATTCCATTAATGAGTGCCTAATGTGTATAATAAATACTGGTAACAGAAAACATGATGGGAGTAATACATTAATGTCACAAATTACATTTAAGGTTGGTATTTGCAATAATGATATTATAATTACAATCTGGTCACACCTTTCTGAAATTATAATAACAACAAACACCAGACAGTAAAACAAAATGTTGCAGTTTTAAATAAGTGTTCCCAAAACTCGTAAATCGAATAACCGTTTTACAATAAAACTAATACCTACCAACATGAGACGTAATTTTTCTTTCAATGTTAATTGAACTGTTTTTCTTTCTGATCCAAATGTAAAAAAAAGTCAATTAAATATATCTAAGCACTAAGTTTCTAGTTATAGATTGTTAATTGTAGAGTGTAAGTAAAGTAAATTGAAAGGAATATGGTCATTTAAATATTTTCTATACCAACTAATAGAGTTAAATTTTTATCACTTCTCAGAACTACAATTTTACACAATAAATTGAACTAAATAATGAAATTAATCATTATATTTCTGCATATTCTGAAATTAATACCCTGAAGACTTACAAAATATGGAACCAATTAAAACAAAATACAAAACAAATAGTGACAAAATAAAGTCTTAATTTGAAACGATCAAATTTAGCAATTAAAATTATTGTTCATACTTTTATTATCAGCTATAATTCTTTGTATGTTAGCTACAAAGCAATAAATTTATTCTGGATGGATAAATTGCTGCCATAGACGAATTGGTAAAAGCCAATCAACTAGCACAGCAATTAACTAATCATATATAATTGCAGATAGATCTACTTTAAACTGGTTTAAAAAAGATTCTATAATGATATGAGATAAAGCAGAGCTGGGTAAAAATCACATTAAGAACACATTAGTGTTAAAATATATTTGGGTGGTATGCAAAAGCGCCATGGTAATGTATATATTATGGGATATAAGTAACCTTGTGATAATTCAGATATATCATTTATTTTACTAATATATCCATTGGTTGTTAGTTTATTAGTATTAACATCGATAGTCTTGTCAAGTTCAAATCCTTTGTTGTTTTTTCCTACATCAAGTGATTTTAACGAAACACCACGAATTGAAGGAGACTTTCGTCTGGGGCTGATACAGCATAAGCCTGAATAAGGATTGATTGGAATAATGATAATATGAATATGTTCCACAATACTTAGGTCAGTCTACTGAATAAATTATTGCGCTTACTGCTATATCAGTCATTTTAACAGTGGGTTTGTTTTGCCGCATTGCCCAAACTTGCCGCATCGTGCCCAACTGCAGAAAAGCGACTTGTAAAATGAAACTAAAGGTTTCTGATAAAATCAGGAATGGTCATTTGTTCCATATGTAACGAAATATTTTAATCTATTGTCCCGCATCGATTTTCTTTTTATTTATAATTTGGACCTGTTGGGATAATCGAAACTAGTTTTATGGTCAAATCTGGAAGAAAATAAATACCTAATAGACTACAAACGATTAGAACCGTAATACACAATAAATAAAATTGGTTATAACTTGCAAGAGTTATGTCCCTCTACTGCATGCCTATAACGTCACACACGTGCTAAATTATAGGGCACATCTAAAACGAGAAGTTTAAATTTTT